AGTTGTTAGAAATGGCGCAGTCTGTTCCTTTATGGACTTCACTTTACAATACCATATGGAGGTGTGTGAAAGACACTGAAGCTCAGTGATACTGTACAATATAACAGCAAAGGCAAAGCAGAGATCTGACAGAATAGCTGCACAGGCTTCAGAGGCATTTGTCAATAGCAGCTGTTGTATCTCCGTCTTTCTTGTTATTTTAGTGAGCTTCATCCAGGCAATAATCCTTTCCAGCCAAAGGAATAAAATCCCATGATGAGAACTGATCTTCTGAGCACAGGAGGTCCTAGAGAAAGAGCACAACCCCTAATATTTCTGCAGATTTGCTGAAAAGGATCTCTGCTTACCTATCTCTCAGTGCAATGAATGATCGAGCAAATACTTGGCGGTCATTAGTTGCTCAGATGGCCCCTGGTGGTCTTACAACAGCCTCTTGTGCCCACGGAAACACAGCTCCCCTTTATGTGTAATCAATAACAAGGCTGCCACGCATGCCCTTTGTACCTGCTGCAACCAGAACAAAAAGTCTTGTTCTTCCTAGCTGTGCCAGACATCACCATTTCTGAGAATAAATTATCTGGGGAATTCAGGTTTCATTGTACAAACAAACCGGGCTTTCGGTTACACTGTAACTGAGACACTGAGAAAAGAATGGGGGGAGAGGAAAATTGGCTGACAGGAAAGCACTGAGCAGTTTCAGCAAGCTAAGAAAAAATCAGAGTTTCGAAGACAAATTTTCACTAAAATATTTTCTGATATATTACTTTATTACTAAAAATCCCCAGGAGCATTCATAACCATCTATGGAGGTTTCTTTGCTTATTTGTTTACAGACAAATATTCCCTCAATCAGACAGGCCCAGATTACAAGTGATGTTAGTTCCTTAGTTGATTTCTCAAGGTAGATATTAACACTGAAGAAAAAGGATTCCTCCTGTTTAAAGATATAGAAATGCACAAAAAAAATGTAGTTCTCCTTTTCTCCTGCTACTGAGATAGACACATGCTGACTTTTCATTAAAAATGTCACAGCTGTCAAGCTCTACTGAGATAGAGCAATGAACCTAGTCTTAAAGAAACAGAAAATTGCAAAAGATAAAAGATTTTAAACAAATAAAACTTGAATAATGTTTTCCTTTTGCTTCTTGGCACAGGTTGGTTATCCTGTAGAGCAGACTTACTTCTTTTCCCAATAAGTGTCTGTAATAACAAGGGCTAGAAATTAATTTTCAAATGAAAGTTGAGTATAATGAAAACACATGAGTCCAGAAGCTGGGAATTCATGTAAAACATCAAAGTCCTGTGACATAACAGCATGAGTTATCAAGGCTAAACAGTTATAAAAAGAACTGGCATTTTCCATTGTTTCAAGGCAAGCAAGACTTTGCTAGTTTTAGCACATATTGCTTTGTTCAGTCAGGAAGATCCATTCTACAAAAATACATTAATTTCTGATAGGCTAAGAGGAACAACTCTTAGTTTAAAATTCAGAAGATAAGACTTCATCTAACAGCACGTTATTTAACATAATGAAATCCACAGGAAAAAAAAGCAAACCCTTTGAAGCTTTATTACACTACAGTAGACTTCAGAGATGTTGATTACAAGATCGTTTTCATACAAAAACAACACATTAATTACCCAGAGAGCCTTGAAGTGAGCAGAAAGATTGCAAGAGTGGATTATCAAGTTTTCAGTCTTGACAGCACTTGGAGCTCGACCTTTCAAGTATTTGGGCACTTACTCTGTAGGTATGTGCTATGTGATGCATTTATGGGGTGCTGAAAGTTCTACTCCGTGACAATATTAATTTTTGAGTGTCTTTATTCCCTAAAAAATTATCTGTCACTTTGTTTTTTTTATATGCAGTTTGAATTTCAGTACATCTACGAGAAAGCTTAGGATATTGGATCATGATCTCCTTCTTGATGTTATAACCCATATAAGGCATAAAGACACATAATGAAAAAAGAAACAAAGCACAAGCATCATGTATATGTATATTATTTAGATAATTATGTGCCATTCTGATTTAGCCATTCCCTGCAAGTGTTTTTCTATGTAGAATATGCTGATGAAAGCATCTCAGCAAAACTGCAATTTGTGAAATACACTGCTCACAGCATTACAGCAGGCCTGTGCCTTCAACAGAACTTATATATATGCTTAGATTATGTACATGATTAACTGTATGGATGACTTGAGTCTGTAATTAAAAGTTTAATATTAAGTTTGGTCTTTTAATGAAAAATGTCACCCATGAAATAGCAGACTAGAGCCTCAAAAACAAAAAAGTGTCTCCTTTTATTAAGGATCATCTTATTAATTTTATGCATGAAATCCTCAGTAGACACACCCAAAACTACAATATCCAGTGATCAAAATGAAACATGTCTGGAGAAGAAATAAAATCCTACTTAATTCTGCCCATTTCAAAAGGGCAGTTGGTAGAACAGGGATTATACGGGGAAAACTTAAGCTAAAATATAATATTTTTCAGCCTCTATGACAATTGGTTTGGTTTAGAACTAGCTATCTAGGCTAAGATATTTGCATTAGGCTGTTTGGACTGAGGTCATCATTTCTATTCTGCAAGTGACAATACACTCCTGCTGTAGGTCACACAGGAGAGCAGATTGTAATTATTGCTGTTTATATCAAACAAAGGGCACTCATTTTGGTCTAATATTTTTTGAGAATTGGATGCCTTTATTGCTGTTGCTGGGGTATTTTGTTTCAAGTGATCTACTTGATTATCAGTTTCTATGCTTTGCTAGTGCCTGCAAGCGATAGAGTCTCTAGCAGAGCTTGTAAAAAACCATTGCTTTCTAAAAGGGTCCTATAAAAAATCCATTTCTCATACATAGCACAAGAGACCATTTAAAAATCATTGGCTTAAGTGTTGTGGAAATTAGCCAGCACTGCAAAGACATCAATGCTGTGGAAACAAGGCAAAAAAGCAGCAGGGACACCAACACCATTTCTGCTACAGGAAGGTCTTGATGCCACCAGTCGTTCCGAGGTGGAGGGTCACACAGCCCCCAATATCACAGATCCTTTAGGCTGCGAGCTGTTCTTAACCACTGTGGCACTTCACAGATGAGCAGTAACAGCCCGGGTGGCAGCAGTACAGGGGGAGGCACAGCTTGGTTGATGGCAAATTGAATATGAGTCAGAAGTGGCCTGGCAGCCAGGAGGGCCAACTGTGTCCTGGGGAGCATCAGGCAAGGCATCACCAGCTGGGTAAGGGAAGGGATTGTCCCACTCTGCTCTCCACCTGGAATATTGGGCAGTTTTGGGCACTGCAATATATTAAGCCATTAGAGAATGTCCAAAGGAGGGCAATGAAGATGGTGAAGGGCTCTGAGGGGAAGCTGGATGAGGAGCAGCTGAGGGCACTTGGTCTGTTCAGCCTGGAGGAGACTAAGGGGAGACCTCATTGCAGTTACAACTTCCTCAGGAGGAGAAGAGGGGCAGATACTGATCTCTTCCCTGCGGTGACCAGTGCCGCAGAAACCTCAATACTATTTACACCAACGTGCTTTGTATCAAACCCTCACTCGCCCGTCCCACCCCCGGGCATGGCGGGGCCCGGCCCGGGGGAAGCGGCGGGGCCCGGCCCGGAAGAGGCGGGATCTGTGAGCGGCTCCGGCGGCTGAGGCGCGGTGAGGGGCGATGGCGGGGGCGGCCGTGGGGGACGAGGGAAGGAGGTGGCAGCCGGCACCCGCTGCCCCCCTCAGCTCTGCCCGGCCTGCCGTGAGGGGAAGGGGCTCCGGCGGGAGCCCCCCTGAGGGAGCCAGTCCGCTCCGTTGCTCGGCGCTTGGCCTGAGGGGGAGGAAGGTGACGGGTGTCCCCGTTAGCGGCCCCCGCGGGATGGGTGTGATGTCAGCAGCACGAACCGTGCGGGGAGCAGCGCCCGCTGCTCGGGAGAAGCTGCAGCGGGAGGTCCCCAGGGCAGCGCTACCCCCGCACCCCGAGCCGGGCTAGACTCGAGGAGCGAAATTCCTTGGAGATGACTTGTAATAAAAACTAACGAGGTTAGCTCATGGCAGAAGAGAGGATGAAGTCACTGGGCATCCTACAGGAATAACTCCTACACCTGGTGCAGGGAGGTGTGCGCTGCGTCATTGGTGGAGGGGGGGCTGCAGATGGGTCTGGAGGCAGCAGCCCCTGCACTGTCCTGGCGAGAGGGCAGTTCGGTCCGCAGGAGTACGGTGCTGATTCCCTGTAAACCCCTCACTTACCTTATACTCGAGCTGCTCATGGGTACAGTGGAAAGAAGCCCAAAATGGGGCTTGGTCAGTGAGGGTACATATTTTACCTCCTGGGGTCTAGGAGAAAAGAGTTTCATCCTTTCTTCCTTCTTTCCTTTCCTTCCAGTTTGCAAAGTGAATAGCGGTCCTGCCAGCAAATCTTTGGGAGACAGCAGAAGAGCTTAATCAGAAAGTCTACAGGCAAAGGCTTTAAATACTCTAAATTACCTGGGGTCGTTAAAACGGTGGGCGTAGAGCTCACTCTGTGTCTGCTATTAGGGCCAGATTTCTTCTGATGGCCAGCACCAGATAGCACCAATGTCCGAAGAGCAAATGCACATATATAAAAATAGGGAAACTAAGGCCTTAAACACAAATTGCATTAGAGAGGCATATTATGAGGTAATTTCACATCCTCTTAGGTGCTGTCCTTTCCCTGAATCAAGTTATTAACACATAAATTATTGCAAACCTCATTATTTTGCTTACCTTCTATGTGTATTTGTAGGCTTTCCATGATACCTTACCTTAGCAAACTTTTCAAGCTGATCATAGTAATGTTTTTCCTGTCAAAAGTGGATTAGGAGTGGTTGTGGAGTGTGTTCTGAAGAAATACTTTTTTCTGTTAATCATATCTGGTGTTTGCCCAAAAATCAGCAACTGCGTTAATCTAAATGTAACTTTTCATTGTCCTTTGTTTTCATTAAGTGGTAGCTGTTACAATGAGAGTCATCATACATTGCTAAAGCCACTTCTGTCGTGTTCACGTTTAAAGTTTTCAGAATGACTTCCTTGGCTGACGTGCCCCCGAATTATGAAACGATGTTTGCTCATCGATTCACATCAGAAGATAAAGAATACCAAGAGTACCTGAAACGCCCTGCAGACCCCCCTCCCATAGTTGAAGAATGGAGAAACAGATCTGGTGGCAACCAGAGAAACAGAGATCGGTACTGATTTTTTTTTAAAATCTTGGTAGTTTCACGAGTATATAGTTAAATGATTATTTATTTCAGAAGAAATCTAGGAATCTGTCCTGTTAATAGAAGTATCTTGTTACTTCATGGGCAACTATGCTTAAGAGAAATAATCTTCCCTGAAAAGTGTTGAGGTTTTATATTTTCTGTGTACTGATAGACAAAATTTTTGCATTGTGTATTAAAGTACTAAATAATTTGATTTTCAGTAAAGAATAAACTGGAACCACTGAACCCATTGCCCTGGGGTTTGTTACTGCTCAGCCAGGAACATTTTTCCAGAGGAGAAAGATGGGAGTTCTGCAAAACTAAGCAGAGTATCTTCTGTTGGATGGTAACTGGAAGTAAAATGTGCAAAGGAACAAGCTAATAGTGTGAATTCTGGACAGCTAGCAACAGATAAACATTTAATTTGTAACCTAAATATTTGCTGTACTTTGTAAGATTAGCCTGTGGTTCTTTTATCTAGTAAAAACGACTGTAAAATCAATCATCCAATCTGTCTAGCAAGTACAATGTTACCTGCCAAAGCAAAATACTTTGAATTATTTATTCAGGATGTAATCACAGCTTTTTATTGAATTTTGCACAGTTACATCTGACGTTTGAGCGACTGAAAACCAACAATTACAGCATATAGTACATGTGGTAATATTAACACCAGCCTTTAATATAAAGTAGTTAAATTCAGCCCATCTAACAATTGGGAAGACTTCTTAGCTCAATATCTAAATAGGATTTGTGCCTTATCTGAAGAAAAGGAGGACAACATTTTAACTTTTTTTCACCTTAGAAGCTTCTAATTAAGTTAAACACAGAATCAGATTCTGTTAAAAAGAAGGTGATTAGAAAAAGGTGATTGTTTAAGGAAATATTCTTAGAAAACTCTGTGGCTCTTTGAACTCTTACATCTACACTGTGGCCATAAAGTTGTCCTTTTGCAAACGTTGTTTGTGTACATCACACCGTTTGCAAACAAAACAACTGTGGGCCAGCTCAAGTGTTGATAGGAATTGAGATACAGTTGAAAAGCCAAAATTTAGACTGAACAATGGCTAAGTACCACTGAGAAGGTGCAGTGTCTTGAGTATGGAAATCTGCGGGAGACTGTGGTGGTGGTATTTTAGCGGTCGCACGGTCGCACGTATCTTAGGGAATGTGCAGATCTCTGTGCTTGTTAAGCCTGCTTTGGTAAAGCTTTTAACCATGAAGGTACTGGATGGAACGTGGCTTTGATACATCTACAGATGGACCTCCTGGTTGATTTTACATATATGGTCTGTTTGAGTCTGTTCAAACTTGCAGCAGTTCACCTAATGCCTGTGAGTACTTTGTATTAGGAAACAGACTGTCCTTAGCAAACAGGGTATTAAGTAAGAAATTCATGACTGATCTCAGATGAATGTAGATGTGTTTTCATGGATTTGTCATAGATAAGTATTTGAGTGTATTACCATTTACATGACAGTTTTAATGAAAACTATGAGTTCATTATCGTTCATCTCTTTAAAACTTCACAATTTATGTCAAAACTCTATATTTCTTTTCATTGCAGGTTTCAAGATGGCAGATATTTTAGAGGGGACAGGTACAACTGGCAAGGTGACTACAGATCTAATCAGAGGCCAGAAAGAGGTTGGGGTAATAACTACCAGCAGCACAGACAAGGACAATACGGCTCATCCCACTACGGACAATACGGCTACAACTCCTACAACCCAGGACCTCGCTACCATCCCTACTGATGTACCTGGGGATTGAAAGTCCAGTAATGCTATGTAATAAATTCAGTTAGCTTTCAGTTTTTTTATTTTTCCACAGTTTTACAGATAACTGAAGAATCAGTCCGTTGCTGTTTCTCTGTAGTGTGAAATGAAAAAGGGAATGCCTGTTACGAATAATAAAAGCGTATTATACAGAGTTTGTTTAGAGTCTGTAGATTTTAGATTAAATTTCTATCTCGTCCTTTTGTCTGAATATGTACTAGTACACACCTTTTGTTCCACCACTAAGATTTCGGTCAGATTTTAGAAAAGAAAACAGGGGAGGATAGCTGTGGTTTGTGTGCAGCCTGTAGTAGTGGCACATTGCCTTAAGATAGTTCTTTTTGAAAATAACTTTTGTCTTTCTGTGGAGAGAAATTCTTAGTTTGGCTTTTGATGGTGAGAATAGTTTGGTTTCACATGCCTTAAAACTGAGAAGAGAGATCCTATTACAGATATATTTTCTGGGGTCAGCATAGTGTCTGTTTACTCAATGGCTTCAATTCATTTGCAGGATTCCTCTTAAAACGTCGTCTGAAAGTTGGAATAAAAATAAGTAGTTAAATATGGCTCTTCTTGTTGTAGCAGTTCAGTGATATATAAGTTTACCTCAGAAGTGGTATCAGATTAATCTGTGTGATCTTAAATAAGTTTGGTATGTACGTGACACATTTTGGAATTCCCATTTTAGTAAACCTGTAAAAATTGACTATATTGTAGTTTGTATAAAATACTTTGTGCATGTTATAGAAGAACCACGATCAGTACTGCTCTGTACTTTTACCTGCATGAGAAAATAGCATAAGCAGAGCAGAGTGTTATTCACTTCTTAGAATTTAAGATTTATGGGGTTTTTTTTAAGTATTCACACAATAAAGGTATAGTTCACATGTAAGGATGTTTCTGAATATTTCTGAAACCTATTTTTCAACCATGCAGGATTGTAACATTGTCACCTTGGCCAACAGCTGCACAAGGGGCTGTACTGACAGATAAGTGTTAATACTGGGCAGCTGTGGTTTTAATGTAGAAGAATGGCCTACTCAGCTGCAATCAGGAGGATGAGACACACTGTGGTTAATTAGAAGTCTGGAGTGTTAATCCACTATCTTACATTCTGCTATAATAGGGTCAGAGTTCTCTATTTCCCCACTTACGTGATAAGCTAATTTGTATCAGGAGAGCAGTGCATGTCTTTCTACTTGACATTTTCTTCAGCTGCTGTACAGAAACAGACTCATCCCTGCTGACTGCTGTAAAAGTCATGGCATTATGTGATAAGGAGCACAAATTAGTGCATCTTGATTTAAAGACAAAGTATAGAAGTCAAAAGCACAGTCCCCCAGCTCATCAGATGCTTTTAAGAGCTAAAGAGTGTTTACTCTTGATCTTAGAAACACTCACTGTATGTAGCTTCTACATGGTGTGTGATACAAAAGCTGACACGAGTGTCTTCACCTACCTAAGTAGGTGCTTTTTGATATAACACTGTTTTAATATGCTACTCCCTGAAGTATTTGCCTCGAATTCAGTTAGAAATCTTTTCATGAGAGGTTTGTTTTTCCTTTAAGGAGTTATACTGGATGAAATGCACTTTTTTAACCCTCATTAATATAGCAGAGCCTTTACAAAGGGAGATACAAAATCATGGTAAATTCTTACCTGCGCACTGTGGAGAAGCTGCAAGTTGGCACAGTGGAATTCCCCTTTTAATGCAGAATCACACGAAGTGCCAAATCCTCCTGACTCCAAGAAGGGAGTGCATGTCTTCCTGCAAAGAGCCTGACACTGCCAGCTATGCCACGGAAGTCAGGCTGTGCCAGGATGTTCTTCCTTACCATCTGGAGTAGCATCTCAGGTTGAAATAAAACCTAGCAGAAGGAACACATTCTGTTTCATCTGTTGCCTTTCCTCAAGCCCAACAACTATTTTATATTATTTTTATTATTTTTCAGCTAGTGAATGAAGAGTCCTAGAATGGTTTGTGTTGGAAGGGACCTTAAAGATCAACTAGTTCCAGTCCTCTGCCATGGGCAGGGACACCTTCCACTATCCCAGGTTGCTCAAAGCCCCATCCAATCTGGCCTTGAACACTTCTAGGGATGGGGAACCCACAACTTCTCTGGGCAACCTGTGCCAGTGTCTCACCACCCTCACAGTAAAGAATTTCTTCCTAATACTGTCTAAAGCTGCCCTCTTTCAGTGTGAAGCCATTACTCCTTGTCCTGTCACTACATGTCATTGTTAAAGTCCCTCTCCAGCTCTCCTGTAGCCCCCTTAGGTACTGGAAGGTGCTATAAGGTCTCCCCAGCTTCTCGTCCTGGTTGAACATCCCCAGCTCTCTCAGCCCATGTTCATGATGGCATGGTGAAGCACTCCTCCAGGGATGTGCACCTAAGCATTCCAAAAAATGGAAGGTGGTGTAGTATTCCAGAAAATGGCAAATCCTATCTACAACGTTGTGGCTGAGCTGTAGAAGCAGATAGATCAGGATGGTCTAGGTGGAAGTTATGAATTACAACCACACATTTTACAGTCTCAGCTGTCTTATTTTGAGTTTCTTGACTATGAGACTAGGAGAGAGACAGGCCAGTGCAGCTTCCCAGCTTGCATTTTTACATTCTTGATTCCATCTGCCTTACCAGTAGAGCTCTCAATTCAACTTTAAGGGCCTGTATTATTTACAAAACTTTTCCTTGGAACAATTATGGCAAGAGTCTAATTTCAAGGGATGTAGGGAGGGGAAAAGAGCACATTGCTAAATAAAGGCATGTCTTGCACCAGACAGAAAGGTAAATAGAATTCAAGATATATTACCTCAGTTTCCACTTCAATGAATTAGTATTTATGGTAAAGTCCAGGCTAAATAAAACCAGTTAAGTGTTGCCTGCAGTTATGGTTTGTGTATCACAGTGTGTTACAGATGACAAAACTGCAGCTGAGTAACTTTAACATTTGCAATTTCGAACACTACAGAAATTGTTTGCTTTAACTATGCTGGAGATTGCAGGGTAAACATTAAATCTGGAATCTGACTTTAAGAGATCTCTTCCATCTGACATTTGCTCAGACATCATTATTATCATGAATAAAACAAAGACAAGGGTTATGTACTAAAAAATGACTGCCACATTACCAAGAGTGTTAACATAAAGTTATGAATAAGGCTTTGCAGCAGTTCTAAATCCATTCCTGAACACATATAGCAATTTTGCATGGATTGTTAATTGATACTGAAGAATAATCATGATAAATTACAGGTGCTGTGGCAAACAACTAAGAAAATTCAATACCTTCCATACAATTTCTTAACTAGCATTTGAAAAAATGCTAAAGGCTTTCAAATCACAGCTAAGCCCCTAGATACTTGAAGGCAAAAGAAAGTGCACAGTAAAAAAAAATATAAAAAAATCTTAGTGTGATTTGTGAGATCCAGTTTTACAGGTTTTCAATGCTATTCAATCTTTATTTTATCCAGTCTCTGCAGCTGGGAATAGAAATGTGCAGATGTGCTTCAAAAGATTAGTTAGAACTGAACTACTTTCAAGAAGCTCTCTAGTAGAGATTTCAGACTGGGAAGACAAATGATTCTGATCCACAGGCACTCAACCTTATCATTACTGACTTTAAGTTCTACAGTCAAGAGACTCTCTAACATATAGAGCCACCTCTCCACCTCTCCTACCTTGCCTATCCCTTCTGAAGAGCTTGTAGCCATCCATGGCAGCACTCCATGTCATTACATGACAAATGTAATTTGCGATATAAATATAATCAACATTCAACTCCTAGAACAAGAAAGATATTTAATCTATGTTTGAATATATTTTAATATATTGCAGGAGTTATTTATTTGAATATATTTAAACTCATACAATTTGCTAATAAATATTCTGCTTAACCCAGAAACATGTCCACATTTGCCTCTTATACTGAGATGCAAGGAGAAAGCTTTTTGTATTAAATAAAATGGAAGATTTTACCTGCCACCAGCCCTATTCCTTAGGGAAAACAAAAATCTCTGAATTACACAACTCTGGGGAATTTTGCTGGCTGGCCCAATTGTGCAGTCATACCTTCTCTAACTCTGAAAAACAAAAGGGTAGGTAGGAACATGAAGCACGAAGGAAGGGAAAACAGGACTGCTCCCTACAGCAGCTACTGACTGCCTTGGGAGCAATTTAACAAAACTGCATCTCCCTTGCCTTTCATTTGCCAATCAGGAGAAATTACTGTAATCTGTCCCCTTGTCCCTGTATGTTAGAAGAGAGCTGCATAACCCTGCTTGAATTATGCACAGTGCTGATACTCTAATGCCCAGGAGCTAAGCAAGATTATAGGGCAGATCAGGTTTCCCTGAAAGCACCTAGGAAAAATGCAGCTTGATTCGAGACACACGGAGGCAAATCAGGAGATCAAAACTGAATCCAGCGGCTCCAGCACTGCCAGGAGAGCTGATGGCAACCGTACTGTGGTGGTGCACAATGATTTTGCCTCTCAAGAGGCTTATTTTTTTATTAGGCCCTGCAGGCTGGAATGTATTTTTGTGTTTACCATGGCCTATATTTTTCTTCAGAAAGCCTGGATTGCACTTAGTGGCTGTCAGTCCTCATTTGCTTGTGTGAAACAGCAATGCCAAAGTTACTTCTACAGAGCTCACCCCTGACTTTCCAAGTACTGTGCCCTGTTAAAATGCAAATCTATTACAAAAGACGGTGGAAGTTGCTAATAACTATGTTTTACTCCAACTCTAATAAAACACACAATAGGGTAAATCATATCAGTGCTTACCTTCTGTGTTATTTGTGACTAGCACAAAAACAAATTACTGTTGTCTTTATCCTAACACAGAGACCTTTTTTTTTTTCAAATCATATTTCAACAGCTGGATGACTCCACCAGCATGGTCTGCCTTCTATTGTCTTTTTTTTTTTTTGTTGCATATTGTATAATTCAAACTTTGCTTCATTAATAAAAGATGTCTCAATAACAAGGATCAAAGCTGCTCCTGTTCATTGTTTGAAGAAAAAAAAAAACTTATCTATTCAAGAGATGAGTTCAAGTCAGGAAAATAATGTAGTTATTTGTTATACAACTACAAAAATAATGAAGGCTCAACCTCATCCACAAAAAAATATTCTTCAAGGATTTAAGCAGAATCTTTAAACAGAGACATGTTACATGTTAAAAAATGATTAAGAGACTAAGCTTTTTCAATGCTCTTGTTCCATGTGAGGAAAGACAATTTGGTATTTATATATCCACATAAATTACTTAAGATTATAATCAGTACTGTCGAGATAAAGGTTAAAAGCCCAAGCACACTGTAAGATGTTTCATACAGCTTTTGGCCAGGTTTAGCATGATCAGAAAGTGGATGCTTTTTGTCCAAAGTCATGTCTGAAGTTTATTTCTGAACAAATGCTTGAAATGATACATTTTTCTATTGAAAATGTGCTCAAGAAAAATAAACAGTAATAACTGCCAAAAACAACCAGCCCCAAATAACTACATATTCTTTTTACACAACAAGAAAATTATTTTTTCCATAGCAAAGCCCTGGTTTTCAGTCATCATGTCCTCTTGATTTAAAAGTCCCACTGAGATCTAAACCAAAGTATATTTAAGAATATTGCTTCAGTGGTTTTAAAGGTATGAGCATTTAAATACAGCACAGCAAACCTCTGGAGCTTAGATCAGTTTAGTGCAAGAGCTCTGTGGGGACACACATTCTTCTCAGGTCAAGCTCATATTACTCAGTTACAAGCCACACACTTGGAACACCCACTCTGAAGGGAGCTGATGGAGCATCAAGCCTGGGGTACCCATCTGCTCCTCTAAACCCCAGCTACAGCTAAACTCCTGTAAGAATGTAAAGGAGCTTTACCCTAAATTGCCAACATAGGCAAATCCTATTTTTCCATCACTGCAGCTCAGAGGATGCTTCCATCAGAAGAATCAATTTTATTTTTCTTACGTTCTAAGAGAAGATGGGAGTGGAAGGGTACATTGTACAGCCCAGGCAGTGAAGGGAAGGAGCATGGCTGAGCTAAAGGAGTGTTTCATGGCTACTTCCTCATGTATTCTGCAGAGGAGAGTAAGTGTTAAGATTTGACTGCTGGTCATCAATTGACTTTATGGCCACAGCACAGCCTGGGGGGAGGGGAAAAAACCCCAAAATTAAAAAAAAATAAAAATAAAAAAGACAAATTCCTTCCTCCACAGACTCCAGGGACCTCCCATCACAGAACAAGCCTGCAGAATGCAGAATCTGGAAGCAGTTAAGCAGCTGGCTCATTACACTGGCAGAGTTTAAGACCTTAAGTAAGGTGGACAGATGCAAGGGACAATAAACAAATCGCTATTTATCACATATCCTGCAGTCTGGGTAAATCCAATTGAAGAACCTCTTTAGACCTCACCAGTAGGATTTTAGTTTCTAGAGACAAAATGGATTTAGTGCCAGGTAATAAAAGGTCAGCCTAATCTTATTTCACACCTGCATTAGACATATTCTTACTACTGACCTAAAAATTTTTTTTTAATCTGATACTGCTTTTACTCTCTCCTTCCTACCCAAGCACCAGGCTGCTTATGTCAGATATATCTGTTTTACTAGTTCATCGTATTCTTGAGCACTTCTGAAGACAAGACCTTTTAAAGCTACTTTAAAATTCTAAAAAGACAATTTTGCCACGGCTCCAGTCATGCTTTCTGAACTAAAAAGAAAGCGAAAAGGATGTTTTCAAAAATAGAACCAGACATGTGTGTTACATGCTCAGCTACAAATCACATTTAATGCTTTTGTGTCTCAGTTTCCATCTGTAAAACTGTGGTTGTCTGCCCTGTTTTCCTCCTCTGTGCTCTGCATTTTGGCTACAAAACCTACCAGGCAGGGGCTACTCCATATAAAGCATAGGTCTGGTTTAAAAATCTCAGCTGGGGTCTGATGTCCCAGCACAATGCATTAGAAACATTCTGGTGAGCAAATTAAATTGTTTGCTGATTTTTAAATGTTTTTTTTACTAAACCCAAAGATACTATGAAGGCAGTGACTTGATTTAAACACTGTCTTTACATCACTCCATAGTTATATATAGCATATATGTACGGGATTCTGTGGCCTAGGAAGCTCTCAAAGCAAGACCTACACTAAAAAATAAGTGATTCTAATGCTACAGGTGTAGTAGAAAAGACCTTAAAAAATTTAAGTGGCATAAAGACAGTCTCATCATAGCTAAGAGGTACGTGTAATCCAATTTGATAGTTAGCACTGAATTTTATAGAGGTGAATTAAAAATGAGAGGGCAATCTATGCAGACTGGATTCCACATCAATAAAACTTGTGACAGTTACTGTATTGAATGTGCTATTCATGTATATTTAATTGATTTTATAAACATTCTCACACACACCATACAATCACTGCAAGGGTGAGCAAAATTCCAGTCTTGTAAGTATTACAGTGCTTGCTTTTTTAAAAAAAGAAAGAAGTTGATGCAAAAATGTTAATGCAAACAACTAGAATTACATAGTTAAACATCTGAGTTTCAAAAAACATAAAAGGTAAAGTTGTTCTTTGCATCTACAGCAAAAGAAAATAAAATACAGTGCTGAGGGAAGGAGTGGATGGGTCAGCTGTCATGGAAGAGGGGATGCAGGAAAAGGAAAGAGAAGAGTGATAGAGCAGCCATTGCAACAAATATGCCTTATCAGGAATAAAAAACCTTGTTCTAGAGGAGTCTATTGAAAGTTCAGTGTCCTTAGTAGCTGAGAGGATGAAATCATCTGACTGAAGATAAAATACAAATCTATTTAAAAGCCATTTGTAATTGATGAGAACTGGAAGACAAAGATGGCATCACACCCTGTTGGCAAGAGAATTCCTCCATATGGCATCTATTTCTCATTAATGCTCTGGAGGAGGATCCTAGACATCCCAGCAGGTCCCGTTGTGACTTTGGATTCAAAGCTGTCCACATACTCAGCTGTTCTCTGGCTCAACTCCACTTTTGCTGCACATGCATATGGCACACAGCAGTGCTACAGGACATGGGCTGGTCAATGGCTTCTGACTGTTACCTTCTGTCTCTTTAGATCACACCTCCCATACAATGGTTTAAAAGGCAGAAACACGTCTGTAACCAAGACATGGCTCAGAAAACCTTCTCAGGCTCTTCACATTTTCTGCTATTAGTATAGCAACTTCAAGGATTGCTACAAAACACTAAGAATTGTAACACACAGAAAAAGGAAAGGTAATCTTAACAAGTGAAGGTCAACTAATTTTTGATTATTCCCAAAGTGAGCATCAAGACAACCAAAATGTCAATCCTGAGGTAAAACCACATCAAATATCTGCATCTTGCTCAAAAATTGAGCATGGCTTTAAAAGAGTGTCTTATCAAAATGAAAAATTCTTTACTCCCTGTCCATCACCATCCTCTTTCACTCTACCTGTTGGGATGCCTCCATACACAGAACATTTGTAGTTGGGCTTGTGGTCATTTGCCCAGTCCAATTTTAGGTGAATTGAGGGACAGATTTTCCACACTTCCCTCTAAAAGCTATTCTCTGAACCTCTAGAGCTCATTGCCAATTCCTTCTTTCTTAACGGGAAGCTCTTCTTCCTCTACACTGTTTAGCATCAGGTATGGATTGGTTATTTTGGGACAGCTTTATTGTGGAACAGCATGTGGCAGTGACCTTATAGTATTTTTGTCTGCACTGCCTGGAATAAAAGCAGCCTATTCAGAGATCCCAGCTGAGCTCAGGAGAGTCCAGGATCCTTACAGCATCTACCAAAATCTCCACTGAACACTCCTACTATCGTTTGCAGGAGGCAAGTGGAGTTTAATATGGCAGTCTCAGGGAACCACACAAGAGTGTCTCAGCTTCAACAGCTGAGAGGAGCTTATTAAAAATAGAAAATTACTGTAGGTATTAAAAATCATTGCCACCTCACTAGGCATTGTCTGGGTTAACACAGATGGGGTAGAGAACACTACAGACTTGAAAACCAGGAAAACAAAGCATAGAATTTACTTGAATTCCTATGGAATAAGCTGCTAAATAAACCACATTTTTTTCTGTGAGCACAACAGATGTAAATATATAGGAGCAGTCAGTCCACTGCACGTGCTGAGAATCTAAACAAATGTTACAATGCATGAAGGATTTTGTGCATGTAACATCTGCATCACAACCGGGGTGGGGAAGGGCCACGCTGGGTCTGCTGCTGCCAAGGCTGGCAGTGCCCTGTGTGTCCCCGTGACATTGCCGGCCTGCAGGCAAAGCTGGAGAGTGCACAATTTGGGAACAGGGCTGATTATCTGCCAGCAGCTGATAAACTGCAGCTTCCCATGCAGTAACAGCAAGGCCTTCTGTTTTAGGTAGCAAAACGCTATAGAGGAATCACTGATCTGTAGTTATGATTTTATTTAATTCAGACAATTGTTTACTTTGTGTCCACATCTTACTCCATTTCCAAGTCAAATTAGCACATCACTTCAGGTTAAGATAAGCAATACATCCTGAATACTGATACAGGCCAGAATGTGATTATAGTAAACTCAGTTTATAAATCTTCTTCATTGGCTCTTTGTCAGGAAACTTCACTATACACAAAAGGAAACAAAGGAATAAACCAAAGACGGTATACTTAAGGAACAATTTAAATGGGTATTTTAATTCACATTTGTAGCCTTCTAAGAGCTTTCAAATTTATATGGCTTTAAATGATAATGATTTTGACAAAAACATTTTTTCCTCTGTGAAAGGTATTAACAGGAAATTGAGAAGCTGAAGGAAAATGAAATTGCATTTTTCACACTTGTGATGAGCCTATTCTAACAGCAGTGGGAGAGGTATTTATCATGCATAGCCTATCCTCCTCTTTGGATGCTGTCTTCCAATTTGGACGGCAAGCACTGCATGTTAGAGGATCATTAACCAGGGTCATGTATATCATCTCTCCCTCACAAATGAACACTGTAAACACTGCAACAGCCACAGAGACACTGTATAATCAGGGCCCAATGTAGACTTTGTGGCTCACATAAGACAAAGTAGACAGACTAAACTACACAAATGAAAACTATTTTTCCCTAAGACATACCCATCCCAAAGCAAGGGCAAGGCAAGGGTCTCACAGCTGCTGCAAGGCTCCTTGGAGCTGGTCTATCTCATGTGCAAAACAGAACCTACAAAGACACCTCCGGCCCTGGGGAACCCTGCCACCAAGTCTTAGCACAACCAATACTATTACCTGGCTTCCAGATGGACAGTGTTCTTATCCCTTGGATTACACAAAGTTTCAAGCACATGACAGGAGCTTTACCCTGTGAACACATATGAAAGAAGACGGGAGGTAAATACCACCTCACACAAACCATGATGTAGGGACTGAGTATTGTTTCATGAACAAAGGTCTGGGCCATAGAGCTGCATCACATACTGCTTTCTCATCTGCACACCACAAAAAAGTTTGAAATAGTGTCATAACACTGGCTGCATAGGTTTATAAAGCAATCAGATCCCATGGTGAGAGGTATAGAGGTATACAGAAGCATTGCTTTCTTCAAAGTTATATTCCTGTCTCTGGGCACTAAATGCAGTATCTCTGACTACTACATGCACTACTAAAATTACAAGGAAACTAATTTTTGAAACTGAATTAGTTCCTAGTTAGTTTCTCCCACATAAACCTGTCCTTCAAATGGTGCTCTTGACCCCTGGCATTTTGGAAAACACTTTAGGTTCCTCTTTTTGCCATAAAAGAGGGGAATGCAATGCCTGCAGCAGTGAAGAAAAGGGAGCAAGATTTTCACCTCCTTCCAGGAGTCTCATGATCTACTTTTAAATCTTTTTCCATTACTATTTAATGGTATTATAATTACTGTTAGTCTCTAGTGTTCAGAATAATCACAAAACAAATACAACCTTGATTATGCTCTTATTATTATTTGTATTACAGTGACAACAAGAGACTTTGAGCTTTACCAGAGGAACAGAGGAATGTGCATCTCCAAGAAACCACATCTAATCTAGAATGAGAATTTGTAGGTTATTACAAAAAACAGAAAAAAATGGGGGAAAGGGATAAAACAAAGAGGTTGCTATACCTAGTTTATCTGCTCTTATTTGCTTACTTTAGAAGTCTGACATTTTTCTTTCAAAAAGGTTCTGTCCTTCAGAAAACTGGACACATATATAGATATAAGATAATATAAGACTTATAAGATAACCAGCAGTCCTATTCTCTACAGTTGGCTCAAACCTTATTATTAAGGACAAGTTCTTCTCTAAAATCCTTAAATGCAGCCACCTCCCTGCTGCCACTCCAACATTCACAACAGTCTTGATAGCTTATTCTCTTGTGCCAACCCTCTCTCCAGTCACACTTTTTTGTTGCAAATAAGAAGTCTCAGATTTATTTATCCTCTAAAACTGTGGGCTGTATTTATCCTCTAAAACTGAACAGGCATGTAGCAGTACACCAAAGGCTCCTTTGTGAAGAAAGTATATAATTTGGAAGACAGATAGAAGGTTGTCTCTTCTGCTCAATGCTGTTCACAGACAGCAAAGCAAAGGAAAATAAGTGCTTGATTTACTCTCTCACATACTACACTATCCAGTGAAGCAGCTAATTAGAAGACCTAATTTAAAGCATTTCCAAGTGATTTCATTTAAACCATGAAGTGTCACCCTCTTTTGGTATTTGTACTTTTGCAGCAGTGAAAATTCATATAGCAGAGGGGCTAGGTCTGAAATTCAGAGATGAAAGGTGCCAATGATGGGTATGAATTTCTCCAAGTTCAAATTTGTTTTTAATTAGAGTCTTAACGCTTTTTTTTCTGACACAGAAATAGAAGAACATGTCTCATATTTTGGCACAATTTTTAATACAGTCCACAGTTCTCTTCCCCTTCAGAGCCAACTCACCGTATCCACCAACCTGAATGAGCATTTCTGGCAGCAGCTCCTTCTGCTGCCAAAGGCTGGAGGTTGGGCTCCCAGGGCTGCCAATTCAGCATAATGGAAACCTGTGGGAGATCTCACAATACTTTGGACAAAGCTCTGCAGATAAGACAAGACCCTGGGAGCTGCAGTTGGCTGACTCTGGCGTTAAAGAGATGTGCCAGCCTCTCACAGCAATTACAAAGTGTTAGTCCTGCCCTGCTGTGAGAGGTAATAGTTCAGTCACCAAAATGAAAAAATACTGGCAAGATGTGGCTGCCTTTGTAGAATCAATTTACTTAAATGAGACAGGAAGGCAGAATAGATGAAATACTTACAAGCGGCTCACCAACCATTCCATCTGAATTTGTATTTTAACCCAACACCAAGCACATCAATTGATGCTCTTTCCATATTATGCATTTATGACCCTCACATGAACCTATAATTTCAGAAGATCAATCTTTCCTTCCAGAAAATTTCAGATTGGCATTTAAGAGCTCAGGAGTCACACCAAGAGTGCCACAGGTAATATAATTTTCCCACCTAGATTCACAGATTGCAAGTAAAAAATAACTGTGAAAGTTATATTGCAAATTATTAGATTTACAGTCTGTGAAAACCTAACAGTTTTTTCCCATTCTGACTTGAGTGCTAAACAGCAGAGCAGGTGCCATAAAACATCTAGAGTCTATCACACCCTCTATTCTGTGCATCGTCCTTCCCAGCAGAGCTTAGGACATGCAGCAAATCTGCTCCTAGTCCAATAAATTAACCTTTGATTAACAAAATTGTTCCCTTTCTCTCCCCTCCTGCTCCCCATGTTTTATTTTCTTTATTTTTGGATTTGAGTAGTTCCCTTATTATGCAAAACCAGGAATCAAACAAACGAGGCCTGTTTCTTCTGAGAATTTAATCAAGGTACCTCACACTGGATAACCATAGGGTAAAGCCTAAAACCCAGCCTGAAAATAGCTAAGGCCTGAAAATAAATTAACAGGAATTGCTTATTTAAGTTTATAAGTCCTAGTGTGTAAAACTTGGAGCACTTCACTAAATTCCTCTCCAAGTAAAAAGACCAAAAGCCTGAAGTGAGCAGAAATTATACACAGCTCAGAAATCAAAGGTTTTCTATAGAAAAGGTTGTTAAACACCATTTTTCATAAAACATGCTCTAGTGGAACTTTTCTTCACAGCCTTGTGACATGAAGAGTGGCACAGAAAATCTTCTGTTTCTTGTGGAGGCCTCCCTTAGAGCAAAATCAAGAGGAAAAAAAAAGTACATTCAGCTTTGCAATGGCAACCTCATTAAACTGGCAGAAAGGCTTGTGGCAAGCTCTGGTATTACACATTCTTTTTGTCTTTAAGTGTGTAATGTGCACCAACACCTCTTCTGACAGATTGCCATTACTTACTTTTGCATATTTAGGATTCATATATTTTTCAGACTACTGAAAGTTGTCTTTAATTAGATCTTACACCCTCTCTGCTTTTACATATACTGGTATTTGGCTTCTGAAAGACAGGCCTTGCCTTGCATCCACAATTTAACAACAGATATAGTCAAATTAGTGTTTTCAGATGTTCTCTTTTCACATGTATCTTCTGCCAGAAATATTGCCTGGCATGGTGTTAAATAAAGAAAAAATTTTATTCTAGCTGGTATGTGACATCAATCACAGCAAACAGAAGTCACACACTTTGAGAACATCATTATAAGCTGATCATCTTTTAAAAATATTTAACAAAAAGCTCCTGGGTCTGCTTTAGCAGCTGAATTTGAACTCAGCAAGAAAGCGACTGAGCAGAATCAGACATTCTCATTAAGTGAAATTAGCCAAGTGCAATTTGGCTGGCTGGTTCCCTCTATGTATTAGCATTTGTATTCAGCCAGTGATGAGCTTAATCGAGTTTTTCGAACAAAAAGAAAAAATCTCCCCCAAACCCATAAACTATCAGGTTTATTAGTAACAGTTTGCACTTCCATTGTAAAAAGGCAGTTAAGAAACTGAAGAAAATTGTCTGTTCAGAAGTGTATCCCAGTAGCTAACAGCAATCTTTCCTCATAGCAGGAACATGACCTCACCTGTGTGCTGCCTGATTGCTATCAGATTTACTGAAGACAAAAGGAGACGTTCCATTAAAGGGCACATGCCAGGAGGCTACACAGAGCTGCTACAGGGCCTCACTGGAAGGGACAGGTTTGCCCTCTGATTGCAGAGATTGTATCACAAGGTCTTTGCCCTCCTTGCACAATGAATGCATCTCAAAGAGCTGTCAGGCCTGAAACACAGAAAAAGAAATGCAGTGGCATCTGAGGAGATAAGAGTCAGCATCGGCTGACGTGACAAATAAAGAGTAGAAACAACCCCAGGGAGCCTGATCCTGCTGAAGGGCACTTCCCTGAAACAACAGCAGCAGAACTGAACATGAGAGGCAACAAGAGGGCATAGGAACCCAGGACCCAAATGTGGCAGGAAGGTGTGTGCTGATATCACTATAAAATGTAACCTCACAGACCTGAACATCAGAAGAGAAGCAAAAAACTTTGTAGATTTTTTAAGACAAGCTATGGAAAGTAGCACTGCTAAAAACCAAAAATGGTTCCATAGAAATAGCTTGTTTTATAAAATTCAACGTAGCAATGCCCCTGTCAGACAGCTGGGCACCATGTATGTTCTCAAATCCATTGGGAGCTCTGAAATTTGTTATAAATTATGCCTCAATGCATCCTGGTTTGCAAAGCATTACAGCAACAAAACCTGGCCAAAGAAACAGCATGCTGCAGCCCCTCCCACGTGCACTGCACACCTACTACGTGTTAGAAAAAAGGCAACTTACTGACAATCACGCCAGAATTACAGTTTGTAACTCCAGTTATTCTCTTAAGGGAAACAACTGCTTTTTCTGAGCAGCATGACATGAGGCTTTGAGCCTCTGTTGTTCTTTTTTTTTCCTTGGGTCTATAGTTAACTGCTCTCTTTACAGCACATTTCTGTACTGACCAACTGCTAAACTGATACTCAATATATTTTCCTTTCCACCTGCCATGCTTCATATTTGAAAACTCAATGTTATTTAAACAACATTTCAAAAACTTACCCTCAGGCTGTAGTAAGATGGTATGGTGGACTACTTCATCACTCCAATTTCCTCAGCTCTTGAAACAATGCAGGATCAAATAAATGCTGCATTTATAAATGAAAGTAAATTCTTCTGGCTCAGCAACAATTACTTGAAAAGCTTAGAAAGGACCAGGAAGAAATTAATTCCCAGTACCTCAGAGAAGTATCACACTCCTCCTTTCAGGCAAGTATTTAATTTCTTCAGCAGTTGTTTGACTGTTTATTGTGCCTCAGTTATATTAACAGCACCCTGCCCCAAGTGCAGCCCCTTCCTAGAGAATAATAACCAGGACAGGTTTTACATGTGGGTAAAGCACTGTGTTGCCCAAAGGAGTGAGGGGAGCTTATTTTTATAATAGTCAATATGGCAATGAATCATCCTCCCTAGAGAAAGACTAAAAACATTAAGAGGAGAATACAGTAGGTTGAAGCAAAAAAAAAAAAAAAATTAAACTCAGCTGATTCAAGTTTTACACATGCAAATAAACATAGTGAGACAGGAAACAGCGAGATGTGAAGTGCTGAGCAGGAACTCAGGTGTATCTGTCTTCCTGGAAGCTGAAAGAAGGAAGATATTACAACTGTGCTTTCTGCTAAATTGCTGCTGCCAGTTATTGACAAAGTTGTCAATTATCCAGGATTATTTAGACAGATGATACCTGAAGAAATGGGGATTTAGAAACACTTGGGACTAAAAGGAGGGATAGGAACGTGCTGCAGATGATAAATGGAGTGGATTGTAAGTAAAAGAGCAAAGAGGCCAGTTTCAGAGGGTATAATTAAATATCCTTAATTAGCATATTAAAGTACTGCAGTAAAGCCATATACTTTCAAAGCTGGATTTTAGAAAATAAATGTAACTGAGTGGATGAAAGACTAAGAACCTTCTGCCATAAGACTGGCATGGAATTTACTCAGATAACTTCTATTCTGCTAATGTTAAACAACTTAATTATATTTTAAAAAATCCACTGACTGCCTAGGTCTGCAAGCAGCAAGATATTAAATCACCATTAGATAGATTTTACTGAAATTGGTCAGACCATGCATTAGGGAAAGAGGACAGTGCTTGAGTCAATAGTAGAATTTCAAGTAGTTGAGTAATCATGTAGCTTAATGCACATGGATAAAGCAGGGACCAAGAAGTAAAAGGAGGGTAGCAACTGGCACCACAATGTTTTTAAATTGGTCTAGGAATAAGAGTTTATTTTGAGCCAGGGTTTGAAAGTGTTTTGAAATTCCTGGACAAAGCTTCTTACAATATCACATAGCTCTGCTCTCTTAAAAACATACTCTGCTGGAGTAAGGGATATGTGCTACCACAATTTTCTCAACAGAATGAAAGACATTTCACTGTGTTCATGAAGAGACAGTTGACAGGTTAGGATTTCAAGGCAAGATTTGAAGGAGGCATAAATAACAGATTTGGCTTTGACCTGTTCACACAAGTTTCTTAACTCTTCTCTACCTCACTTTTGATATACCATGGACCAGCAGTTCCTGCCTCCCAGGCATTTCAACAGGATACATATATCCACAGTTAAGATACTAGGGATATAACTGGAAGACTGCATGAAACACATTGATAGAAGAGGTTCTCAGATATTATATATGGCAACACCCCAGTGTTATTTATACTACCCTTCTAAAATACTTTTGGTTACTCTTATTTAAAAAAAATTCTCCGTTCCCAGCACGTAAAGGCTTTATTTGTCACACTACTACTTTTCAACCCTTCACTGATTAGGAGACACAGACACAGAATTCCAGTTGAAGGTGTTTAGGAAAGGTGAAGCCTCCAAAGCAAAAGTTAGCAAAGGCTAGGCAGAACGTGTTGACAATATAGATTAAACTGGCTACTGTAGATAATCATAATTGAAGACTAAGGTACTTCAGAGACCACCTGCCCACCCACCTCCTCCCTCAGTCTGTGTCTAAAACCACGGGCAAGTGTAATACATTATTTCAACAGAGTATACAATACATGTAATGTAACACATGGTATTAACTTCCAAAGAAATCTGTATAACGGCTGTTGTAGCATCCAACTCCAAATATAATAAACACAGAATTCCTCAGTCTTTTTATTGCTGTTTTTTAAGTGAGGAAGTTAGAAAAAAACAACAGCAACAAACCAGGAACACTTCGTTTTGGTTTGCTTTGCCTTAATTTTTCTGCAAGACACGGTTCCCCTCTGCTGGACAAGAACAGGTGTAACAGCAAAGAACCAAAACTGATGGAACAGCAAAATGAAATCAGCAGACAGAAATGATGAGTAAGGAAAGACGGCTGAGGCAATGTATGGCTGCCCAAATGCCTGAGAAAATAAGGAGCCCAGGTGCAAAACATTAAGCAAACAACATTCAGAATTTAGACTCAGTTCTCCAAACAAGAAAGTAACATTTTTCATTACATCTCTAAAATAAGTCGCCTTGAAGGAGCTGTCATCTTGACAAACACCAGATCTCTAACTCCAAAAACAACTGTTGCCATATTTAGGATAACAGGAAGCAGAAAGAATTTCCTAAAGCAAAAGATTTTTGTCTGTGAAAAGCTAAATTATGAGCGATGAAGTCTGCACTGCGTGCAGCTGGTAAAGAAATTTAGTTGTAACTTGTGCCTTGACAGCATTGTTTTCCAGGAGAAACCTTAAGCAAACCTTAAAAATTGTTTGTATTTTTTACTTTAGGCATTACATTTATATACATTTTTTTAATATGGTCACCACAGGATAAAGACAGGACAATTTCAGACATCAGCAATGATGCAGATGAAAAAGAAAACTCCTACCAGAGACACTTTGATATCACATACGTTTTTGGGAAATACCAGTTAAATCTTACTCTGACCTCTGAAGCACGATAAAGAGAGAAGTCCAGCCTTCTTCTCACTAGCCCTGAGACTGAAGTATAGTTGCCTATTTTGTTTCAGGCTTCTTGTTCCACTCTACAGATGACTCCACTCAGTCCTCTAGGGGTTGGAATACTACTTGTTTTTAAACCAAGGAAAGATTCTAAAAAAGCCACATTTAAGAGTAACATAAGTGACTTCCAAGAAACAATTTTTTTGTTAAAAATACAAACACAAAACAAAGTTTAATAATATTTTCCCTCCTTTTATTAAAAAGTCATTATACTTGACATACAATTGGCAAATATACATATATATATATGATCGTGTCTCTACTTTTAAGAGAACTAATTACAGACTATTGCAAAGTGACACCAGGTGTGCCATTACTGGGTTCTGCATTGGTTTTTCATACTGAAAACTTCTAGGTTTGTTTCAGTTGTTCAAGTGATTCTGCTTTTAGCTTGCCTGTGTGATCAACAGCAGTGCATTGGCTTCAAATACATTTATTTTAGATGCCCATAAGTGCCCACAGTGCAAAGCTGCACACAGTACCTGCCACGAGATACCAAACAGGACATTCTTCTAAGGTCTTTACCATCCAGACTCATCCTTTTGTACCACTTTTCACACGGAAGCCTGTCACTCCAAGCCTTTCACTTTGTTAACCAAAGTTTGTTTCACTAAGAAACAAGTTTTCTAAACCACTTGTTTAGAGACCAGGAAAGAGGACAAATCTTACCAACAGGAAACTCTCCAAAGCAGAAGAAAGTCTGTAGTGACAGAAATGGATACTGAGCCTCAGTAAAGACAACTTTTTCTAATCAAACCTATACAAAAAACTTCAACTATACAGGAGCTACATGTACAAAGGTGGAAGGGAGGAAGAAGTATTTTTCTGTAGTCATTACCCACACTCTCAACAGCACTACATTATGTAAGAAAGAGTATCAGTCCATTTACCAAGATGCATTGTCCCATTTCCTCCTCTTGTTTTAGGTCAACTGGAAGCTTCTTTTTTCAGTTTTTCTAAAATCTCATCTGGTGTCATTGATACCGAAATCTTCACCACTTTGTCACGTGATTTACCACCCTGGTTTAGACAAACATACAAAAAAACACCCTTGAAGGTAGGAAATGGGTGATATTTATAAAATGTTGATAAACAAATGAAGCAGTTTGCCCATGATTCAAGAAAAAGAAGACTCAAGTCTTTGCATCTCTACCTTCTGGCAACACAGCGCTAAATTCATTGCCATTTACCACTATCCATTAAAAGACTTCTACGACTGCAACACTAAACTACCAGATAAAAAATGGTGGTTTTTATTTTTATTGTCCCCTTATGCTCATAAACGATAAATAAAAATGGCTGGAAAGACTGACTTTAAGTACAATGAATTAATAAAAGAAATTATTTATTCAGTGCAATAAATAAAACAAAGTTTCCACTTGCCAAAGTCAAGACATGTAAATTCTAAACAGACAAACTTTTGTGGCCCAGCTGTAACCCAAGTGCTTATATATGCTCTTGCTGACAGTTAAATGTCAGAAAATTTTAACTCAAATAACTTTCACAGATGCTATTTTTTAAAAAAGAGTGAAAAGTTGTTAATAAAATCCAAATTATCTCTGAAGCAGAAATTTTGTGAACTGCATTTAACATGAAAACAAGAGAATCTTTGAAGAACGCAGAAACAATTCTTCCTGTGCTAGGTTTGTTCTCAATGAATCATGCCATTAAATCAACTAAAAACCTTTATAAAGTGTCTTTCAGACTGAACTTGGAGAGCAGTCCCCTGTACCTAAATGTGTAAGTTTCAAAATCCTGAATTTCCACCGCAGTAGGAAAAACTGAAACGAAGAAAAGGAAGTACCTTCTCTAAAACAACGTCACTCTTCCTCACTTCTAGCACCTTAGAGAGGTAGCGACACAGCTCTGCATTTGCCTCCCCTTCCGACGGGGGTGCAGCAATAGCTACACCTACTGCCTCAGCTGTCACATCTACAACAAAAATTTAAACATTTTACGTGTGAGATATTCAAAACATCTTTTGTTTCCTAAAAATGAGCGTTTATGCCTTCCAACGCATTTTAATTCAAAACCAAATAAACGTATAGATTAGCAGGGAATGACATCTTCACACTGCATAAATTCCCTTAAACTGTTGGCCAGAACAATCAAAGATAAACTTCTGACACTAAAAGCAGTCAACCCTTCAGACCGTACCGCAGTGCAGCCATAAGTATTAAGTTTTCTCTCAGTGGGGGCACCGTTCTGAGCTCCTCTCAGTCGCCCATCCTGATGCAGGTGTTGTTCCTGCTGGGCATCACGTAACACAACAAAAAGCAGATTTCCCCACCAAAAACCGCGTGTTAAATCAGTCTGCTCAGAGAGCCGTGCTATCAGCAACTTCCCTGCGTTGCCACCCGAGCCCGGACATCGCTGCGGCCCCCGCCAGTCACACACACAGTGTATGAAAGCGGTTCCAATGTGCGCACGGGCAATCCCGGGCAGTAGAGGGAGAACGCGCTTTATTAGACCTTTATTAGAGCTTACATGGTTCTAATAAACCCGCACAGACTCTCGCGACACTCAACCACAGATGCCAAACAAACCAGAATTCACCCCGTGCTCACCGCGCCACCCAGCGCTGCCCACGGAGTCCATGAACGAGCTACCCCTGGAGCGCGGAACTTCCCGCTTCAGTTTCCTGGTGGACTTTTGCCTGTTCCCCCCAAGACCATCTCATGGGACGGCGGCAAACCCCAGACCCCCGGCGGGGGTCCCAGACCCACCTGTGACGGCGCTGCAGCGGGCGCCGGGCTTGGCGCGCACCGCCACCCTCACGGAGCCGCCGCCCGCCGCCACCACCGGTCCCGCCGCGCCGTCCGCGCCCGCGGAGCCCTTGGCGGCTCCTTTGCCCTGAAACAGAGGAACAAGCACGGTCACCACCCGCCCCTTCCCCTTCTCCTTCCCCTGCCCCTTCCCGCCCGCACCTTCCCGGGCATGGCCCCGCCGCTCCGCACCGGCGCCGCCAACACCCGGCGGAACCCGGCGAGGGCCGGCATTGCCCTTCCGGCAGCTCCGGCTGGGCCCGCCCCGCGGAGCCTGCGCGCTCCGGCACGGCCGCCCCGGGTGTGCGGATCCGGGTAACCGTGTGATCCACAGGGACCCGTGTGATCCACAGGGACCCGTGTCACCCACAGGGACCCGTGTCACCCACAGGGACCCGTGCCCGGCTCAGCCCAGCCCCGGCTGCCGGCCCCCCTCCCCGCGGTACCGCAGTGCTTCCAGGGAACAGCCCTTTGACGTTGTTTTACACACGGCCTTTCTGAGACACAAAACCTGCGTGACCTTCCCCGTTTACACAGAGGAAAAAAAAGAAGGAAGTTTTCTTATTATTCTCCTGCATTCTCAAATTACTACTTTAGTATAATCTGGGGAAGGGTACACGAAGACATTCTATTACTACACAGTACATACTGCAAGACACTGAGTACTATATACATACAGCAATTGCAGCAAAGTATTGTGTGCAATCTGTAAAACTAGTTGCAGACAAGTAATCCTTAGGTTTATACTAATTTTTTTTAGTGCTAGAATATCCGATGATAAAATTACATCATTACAAGTCTTGTATTCTCATTTTCACATTATACATTTTTTATAGGCACATATGTATATGCAGTGGCTATTTCCATAACCAGTTCTATATTCCAAAACAGCCCTTCTGAATTAAGAGAGATTCTGGAAAGATCTGTTTGTTGCTGAAGTTGACTTAGTGTTTCTTCAGTGCAGCTGCAGATGCTCTCTGCAGTGCTAATGTCCATTAATTCTCAATGGCTCATCCAAAAAGTCAAGGTGATGGCAATATAAATCCAGCTTTGCTGATGTACTTCAAAAAAATATAGTAGCAATCCATGTCCATAGGGTCATTCCAAGGTCATTTTGGAAAGAAGTGCAAGATGGGACTACAACAGCAGCTTTATGGTCTTTTTAGGACAGATTGGGGAAAACGTACGCAAGTTGTTCATAACAAGTAAGGATTTTCCAGTTCAAAAAATGAATTTTACTACAAGAGAAACAAAGGGGTGAAAAGACAAAGCAATAATCACATGATACTGTTTAAAACAAATAAAACAAACTTTTCAATAAACAGAGTACTTTCTCCACTTGACATTTTGTTAAGAGGAAAAGCTAAATTACGTTCTGCCAATAATGATGCAGAAAAAAAAATAGTTTTTCTGGTACCCCTCAAACAAGATAGATTTGTTTTCACACGGTGATGTAATTTCAGAGAATTTTTTAACTGCCAATAGTGAGCTGAAGTCCACTGAGACACTGAAACGTTCCAGATCATCATGTGAAACTAAGTATAAAATATTATTTCTGGTATCTGTCCATCTTCTATTGATGTACCGTTGTTGTTACCTGGTGAACTATAAAAGACAAAGCATGTTTTGCTAGCAGTAGGAGATTCATGGATCACTTTCTTCAAACCTTTTGTTCCATAGTGGGAATCAGGACCCTGAAAAATATCACAAGACATTAGCAACTGAGTGGAAGTAGGCAAGACCCATAAATTGCTAAGATTCAAACACTGCTGACTTAGGTTATTTTAGTAGTATAAAATTTCTGTACCCACATCATATAAATTATATACAAAATCACAGACAACAGAAGCAAGTGCTTGTATGTCTAACTAGCAAAAAAACATTTTTCTGACAGCAGACTTAAACCAGTTGATTTTATCCAACTAGTAATGAATACTTTCTGGTATTTCTCCTTATCACACAGGTTGTCTATATTCTCACTTAGTTCCCTGCCTCAGCTTCTTTTAATGTGCAGTATTTTTCCCAACCCATTCAATTTTGATTTCTGAGAATTATATTTAGAAGAATTATATTTAAAAGAATATTAAAAATATTAAAAAGAATATTAAAAAAATCTTGAGAAATACATTTGTCCACAATATCAAGGAGAGACTTTCCCAGAACAAGTAATTCTTGTCTATTGTGTCAGCACTAATATCTAAAAAGTGATGAAAAAAAAATCTCTGTTTCCTTGACTCCAGCTAGAGCAGTCAAGAATCAAACTTCAATCAGTGAATCAAACTTCAATTTTGATAGACAGCTGCCAGATTAAATATTTTAGATAGTGCTTTTTCCCACACAGAACCAGTAACTTGCATTAGGACTCATTCTAACACCTACATCACGCCACAAAGTGAGAAGGCACAAAGGATCCACTTACTAAGTCCGTGCTGTGACACAGAAGAGATATAGCAGTCTTACAAGTTACTGTGGAGTTTAACTAAGTCCTTCTTTAGCCCTAAACCAAAAATCAGGATCTAGAAGACACTTTCCCATCAGAAGACTGATAGAAGAACAACTCTTGCATCAAAGTAACTTTCTTCTCTACTGTTAGACATTCTTACTTTTAACGTTGCACAAGCTGTGTAGCAAACCGTGGGCAGGATCTCGATGGGCTCTTTGAACATAACTCTGAAGGTACTGGCTGTTCCATCACAGCTAAACCCAGTATCGTTCTGTCCTAGTGTCTGATTCTTCTCATAATCAATTATCTGTGCAAAAACATGAAAACAGTATTCTTAGGGTTACAAGCATGAGAAAGATTCTCATTGTATGCATAGGAGAAGATGACAAACAAACACTTGCCTACTCCACCCAGTGTAATTGCTGATCTTTACACACCTACACAGCCCACGTGAGGGAAGCGCGTTCGCTGGCTGTGGCTGATATAGAAAAGTTTTTACAGATAATGTAAGCAGTCAATGATACATTCATAAAAGAAAACAAGAACTTGTCCTGCTATGCTTTATACAATTTATTTCTAATCTAGGTTTAGCATAAAACTGCACTCAGACTACACAATATTTATTGTGCCTTCAAGTTTAGTGGCGAATAGGAATGACCAGCTACAACGTGGTAATCGCAGATACTTCACTTCTTATTTTGGATTGCCAGACTGATCCATGCTGCCCAACACCTCTTGCAGGAGTTGGATATCAGAGCTTTAAAGTAGAACACTTCTCATGATTACTGCACTAAGAAGAATCCTATCAGTTTTAGTATTTTATTTTTAAATTGCCATATAATTTTTAGTATTACGTGAGATGAAGCTTTATTCTAGGCAAAATATGCTCTATATTTTTTCCCAGCCACAATCAATAGAAATATTAACAATTATAATGCTGAAGTCCTAAGCCCTTTTCATATAAAAGATTTATTTGCAATATACATTATCGCTCATTTAAGACAAGTTTTAAACGTTTAACTCTCTAAAGCTTTGCTAGTACTGATGCAGATTCAAGAAGAAAGGTAGAGGCACAGAACTTAAATACATGTCTGAAAAGACTGGGACAAGGAAGTTAATTGCAGGATAAAGAGAACCCATATAAGATGGATGGTCTTAATCTGAACCATAAGGGTATATCTAGCCTTTCAGTTTGGATCGGAGGATCTTTTTCAAGTGAATCTTCTGATCATTCCCACTAAATATACATTGGTTTGCCTTGAAAAAAAAACCTAAATTCTTTTCAGATTAAATAAATCCAGCAAACATCCTGAGGGAACACACTAAATGCTTGCATCTGCTAACAGGAATTCAGCAGAGAGGTTAAAAATGAAGAGATAACATGAAGTAAAAATCCCCAAATATACACAGTATAGCTGATAGATTCTCAGGACCAACTCTTTTGTTCTAAAGATCCAACCCAGTGGCACTGTACTACTCATTTACATGGATGTAGAGTTTAAGAAAACCAAACTAATGGTACTTCAAGAAATTTGCAAGTGAGCTTTTAAATTTAGGAATGTGGAAAAGCCAAATTCCTTCAAAACCTAATTCCAGAAACACTCTGTTTGAAACATCATAACAGGAAAGGCACAACATTTTTTTTTTCTTAAGAGACAGACACAAAATCCATATCCTTAAGTACAAAATAGTCAGATAATAATAATCATCAAATAGGAAACAGAAGATAAACTGCATTTAAACAGAATGCTCAGAAATTACCTGAAACAGCAGTTCCAGAACATGCTAGAAATCTACAAAATCAGGTAGGGACAACAGAATTTCTGCCTCTAAATGAAGTCACAGACTATTTCTTTCATGTACCTAATTTCCCATGCACCTAATAAATCAATGTGATGTGACAGTACCAGCTTATGAAATATACACCACAGGGTAAAATGGTGCCAGTCATGGAATGCTAATACCTCGTTAGAAAGCTTAGAACCAAAACTAACCTCACCAAGAAAAAGAATTCAAAAGGACTGAAATTCCACATTTAAAAAGGAAAATACAGTGCTGTATCAGTACTACTAGAAGACAATCCTGACCACGATGTGCTAAAAGAGATCAAACAGGCTACAAGAGAAGGAAATACGATTTTAGGGGTGCCTTCAATTACCCACTCAGAGCAGGCAAGGTTCACCCCAGGACAAAGCAGGGGTGACATTTTTAGATGCTATCACTGGCCTTTCCCCGAGCTTGCTAACCAATTGCTCAGTAGGAAGAAACACAACCCTTGATTTGGTACTGAGCGATGAGCAGGATCAGATTCAAAATTTCATAATGGAAACACTATGTAACAGTGTCCATAATATTCTTAGTCAACACTCCCATGTGAACAACAAAAGCAAATCCTCCACAGCTGTGCTAAATTTCAAAAAGACAAAAATGAGGAAGCCTGTTCAAAAGAAACTAAAAAGTAGCAATTAGGAAAATCAAATCATTATAAGAAGCATGCAGACTACTGAAGGACATCACATGCCCAAATACAGTATCAGTACATACATCTCCTATTAGGAAAGGCTTGAGAAAATGGGGAAAAAGCTGGGTGTTGGAAAACACCTGTACAGGAGAATACAGCAGAAAGGGAAGAAGAGTTTCATAGTGTTCTTATTGTTGCCTAATCATCCACTTATGCCCACTGTTGAGGACAAAACACAGCTTAGATTCCTGGCCTATCAATTGCTCCCATCCAAATATAGACCAAACCTTTAGGAAGTGTAGTTCCTGCACAAGCCTATTTGAACATTATATACTGTACCTGTATATTAACTTGATAGTCTGTGGGTCCATGAATAGATCCATATAATCCAAATCCCACTATGGAAATTCTTCTGTTAACTGTGAACCTTGTAAGACACAAGCCAAGAAAGGAATTTAAACAGCTCTGGTGGATGTGTTACCTTACTCCCAGTCAAGCAGGAAAAAAACTCTCACTGAAGAGCAGTGAAGTAAACTGACAGTGGCGTTGCGTTTTTTTTGATAACACTTTTTATATAGATTTCAATGTTAAGGAAAATGCTTTGTCAGCTTTATAAGTTAAAGCTTTGCTAATCCCCTGAGATATTCAGCATCACTAAACAAAACATAACAAGATTCATTTCAATATCTCCAAAATAAAAACAGATCAAGACTTGGTATTTCAGAAGGGAATATACAGACAACGCCCAATCATTCTAGAATGCACCCACTCCTCCCAAACCTTTGTATTTCATGTATGCAACAGCCTGTTATTTAAAAAAAAGATCAAACGTGCAACAGAACCTGCATGTTTGCCACTGTATCTTATGCCAAAAAGTCAAAGTTGAGTGATTTGTTCCCTTTCTACCCACACTTCTCTGTCTCTCCTTCAAATAATCTCAAAAGTCATACCTAATCCGATCACTTGTTCCACTGTAGCCCCAGCGACTCTCCACTTGCTGGAACCTGTTAATGCTGCATTCTTTTCCTCTAAGGCAACATCTTGGTCGGTCAATATAATCTACTTTAGGTTTAGGATTTACAGTAAAATGAAGAAAGAGATTTACTACTTCCCGATCTGACAAGATTCCAGATTGAGCAGGGCCTGTGGAAAAAAGAAAACAATTCTAAGATGATTTGAAGGATTACTCCAGCTGTGGTATTTAAACCACACATATTCACAAACTGAAGACAACAACAGTATTTGCCAATGGCCAGAATGTAATCTGCAGAATGTTTTGCTTTCATTTGTGCATCACAACCCTTATTAGTATAATATTAATAACAGAATCAAGTGTTAAGCATCTAAACACAGGTAAACAGCACAGAGATATGGTCTAACAGTAAGATAAAGAACTCCAAAACTCACCTGCTGCAAACTCTTCAATAGTCATTAATGGAAAACGGATCAGGGAAAGAGCTCTTCCAAGGACTTTTTGTTTGTTCCCGAATGTTGGAGGCAATTGTTGTCTTTGACATTCCGCTTCTGCCCAGCGAACAACAGCTCCAAAGAGCCGACTTTCTCGAATACTAAGGGTATCCCTTTCTAAAACTGCACACAACGTGTCTAAAGAATAAAAAGTTAGCAGATTTAGATCAGTTTTCATTCAAATCAATGTGTAGCTATAAAGTGCTACACATTATGTAACCTTAAAATACTAAGTACACATTAAGAACATTCACAATAAGACAAAGATAACTGTCTTATTATCATACATTATATGTATATATATTATACGTAATTTATCTTACAGAAAAAAAAATATCTCAATGACATATAGACTTCAAACTAAAAATTAATTTTCCTGCTATGAAGACAGCATATGAAGTATCTTCTTGATTCCTAAGAGTGTAGCTCTCTATTACCTATGTAGTGATAACCAGTATTCTGAAGAATTTCCATTGCTAGGGCAAGATCAAAACTGGAAGTGACCACGTAGTGAATGCATACTACTCAAAAATCAAGTTATTCATGATGACACTGTCATACTCTCATCTGCATAGCCATCTGCCCATCTGGATCAACCCTGGACACAAGAAGCAGTGCACACAAAACCAGATGAAAGATATATGAAAGTGATCTTAAGCATTGATGTATTTGCCATCCACAGTGCTTGAACGTGAACACACGATCTGAGGCAAGGTACTCTCACATGTTTTACAGAAGCAACTTCTCCTGTGTGTATTACTCATTCTGGCCTTTTATGAATAACATGTATGCACAAGTTATCATGGAACACAAGTCCAAAAAAAAAAGTGTTTTCATATCTGTCTTTGGGAATGTTTGTCTGCCTTAATTTAAGCAGGGCATGTTTGCAGTCATACAAAATATCATAATAGAAAGTCAAAACAGATTGAGAATTATCAAGAGTAGAGATGAACACTCACAGTTTAGGCACAAATTTTACTGAATATGAGTTAACAATGATTTTAAAATTTCTTTAAACAGCTGGAACACATTCCTTCAGTCTGAATTTTTCCCACAATGTAGCTGAGTTGGAGTAAAATCTTAAGACACATATAGTAGCAATGAAATTAAGTAAGCAAATTTAACAACTGCTAGCTTTTCATAGGATATTAAACATAGAAATCAGCAGTTTATGTACTTTTTAAACCAGATTTCATTGATTGTACCTAATCTGTACAACTCTGAATAGAGAAATAAATGCAGGTGTGGATCCCTCAGGGATGAGGCACAACACTCAGCAAGTGAAAGCTTTGTCTGTAATGAAAAGTGTGGTGTTACCACCATGGGAGCCTTGGATATCCAAATGGATATCCAGTGCAGTGGAACCCTGCTCAGGAGTGAAGCTCAAAGGAAAGCACTGCAGGGGTGGATAGCCAAGAAGGGAAGAAGTGCCTGGGACTCTGCACACTCAGATGGGGGAGGGAACTGGGGTGCTGTAATTTCACACTTACCTATATCGATGTCAGTAAAGCCTTCTGCACTTATGGCATCCATAGTACTTTTGTCTATTGTGTCAAGACACAGACTAGCAAGCTGAGGTTCATCAAACAAACGAGCCTAAAACGGTGAAGAAATACATTTTAAGCATAAAGTTGACAAAGCACTCATCTTAAAAATCAGGCATTTTTACTCTAGTACAGACCTAAATTAAAATAGCTGGATTTGTCTAAGTACTCTTTGTGTTTATACCTTAAAGAGGACTTAAATTTTCTAGGGAGTACATACTTAAGGAGAATTAGTCATTTCCCTTCACAAATTGATTTTCCTAGCAAATCAAAACTAAGCTTAAATGTACCTACTTGAGTAAGCAGCATAAAGGCATTGTCTGCTCGGAGATGCTTTGTTAGAAAATCCACACAGTGGGCTTCCAGCGCTGGGACCGCATACTTTTTAGCAGTGTATAAAGTAGTCATGACTGTTTCTGGACCAATTTGAACTTCATCCGAATAAAGAAACCTACAAATCAATACACAAATACAGATCATAAAAATGTATCTTGAGAGGGGCTGTCAAAGAACAAGTCTCTTTGCATTTACAAAACAGGCCAAAGATTTGCACTGCGAACATGCAACAGTTTTTACAAATGAAAAAGGTAAGTTAAAGGGTTGAAGGAAGAATATTACGTTAACCTAATGGCATACAATTGTTTTAAATATGTATTACTCCCTAAGGCTGATCCGGCTGTACTAGTTATACATAGCTACCCAACTGTAAACAACAGCTGAGCTGCAGAATTACTTAACACACGAATGCAGCTCTCTTGATTCATCAGGAGGAGCTGTATTTCTAAATATCAATGCACAACCCTCTATGGCTGTATTGCTGAACCTAATTTACTGACAGTGCACACTGGCTTCCCTCTGTGAGGGGAACAGTGTCAAGGGCTTATACTGTGAGAACATCCTATATTGAAGTTACTGCTCTGTCACGTTCAGAGGAGAGCAGAGCAGATGACCTTGACTCTTCTATTCCTGCCACAGCAAAACTCTCTGGCTTGTCTCCACTGCTTGAGGCTAGAGGATTGGTTATGATTTTAGCATAAGCTGTCAACCAAAAGACAGAAGTCTCCACCAATATCAGGAAATAAATGCTGTTTCCTGAGCAGTTGTTACTTGAGACTAGACAAGATAAGATTTATTTTTAGGTTCTGTATGGAAAATATGACTTTTTAAAAATAACTTTTCCTACAGGTGACATTTAAAGATAATTTTAGCAGTATTTCATCAGCTTTTCAGATAACAATCAAGAATAGTCTGTGATTTACAAAAATACATTTGTCCCCAACACATAGGTGATTAAACACAATAAAGCAGAGCACATTAGCAAATGCAGGAATTCCAGAACAAAGATCAAGCCTTTCTTTAGTATTTCTTAGTATTTGTTGTTCAGAACCTCCCAGAAATGAAAGGCACACAGAGACAGAAGGTGTGTTTAGAAGGGCTTTTAAATGTAACAGAAACTTGTGAAAGTAAGACTCATTAAACTTGCTTGCAACATGGAGAGATCTAGATAATTGAAACCTGGAATTAAAGTTTAAACTGAAGTTCTTCACTGTTTATATTTCTTATATTCCAAGAAAACTAATTCTTGGTAGTTGCTAACACACAAGTAAATACGGTATTCAGCATTAAATTTTCTGCCACATACAGGTACACATCTAGCATTACAATACTCCAATCTACTTAAAACAGCCAGCTTGCACATCACTTTGGAGATGTGAATGATGCTCTAGATTAACTTTTTAAACTGGATTTACATCAAACAGTTTTTAGGAAAAATGAATTTAATTAAATGCTAACTTTTTTTTTAAGCAAAAGTTTCATACAGTTCCTTTAGAATCGAATTATGAACGCTATGAACTATTTATTACGTGTTGATGAAAATGATGGGCTGACTTGCTAGGCTTAATTGCTGACAAATTTACTTCTATGGAACTGAGATCTCATAGGTACAGTTTTGCATACCAAACTGACAAGTTGTGCATTAACGCACTAGAACAGTGCATTTCGATTTTGGATTTAAGATTCTAAAAAATCAGTTTAAAATGCCCTAAGCTTCCTTGTATGACTTTATAGGAGCTTGGAGTCCAAAGCACATACGAGTTGAATATTAACCGGCTGTAAAAACAAACAAACAAACAAAAACCAACCAACCAAAACAACAAACCAATATTGCCATGCAACCTACAGTATAACTTTTATCTAATTAAAAAAATATCCCAATTTGGTTTGGGAACATGATTTTGATTTTATTTCTTAAGTGAGTCCAATCTGAAGCCAACGAAGTGACACATCAGAGGAGCTTTTCTGGCTTGTGTTTCACTTTCTGCTATAGCTTGCAAAGAATCAGGGTGCAGTTCTAGGTGTGTCTTCCCTCTCAAAATCCCCCTGCTCATGTGTGCCAAGAGCTCTGTCTCTGTGCTAACTCTCCCATTTGTGGCACGCCTGGACTAGCACACCTTTGTGTTTATATCAGTGTTCTTCCTCCACTTGACTCAGTGGGACCCAAGTTCACTTATCCTTCCCCCTTCCCTTCTTCTCTCCTCTCCTTCCCTTCCAGAGACTCACAGAAACAACCTGCTCTTTGGATACTAATCTTACTGTCATCCAGCATGAAGGGACGGGGAGGTGGGGGTTTGTATGTGCAGAGTGAAAGAATGTTTTTAGTGACAAGTAACCAGAACAAACAATTTCTTCAAGTGACAACCCAGTCATTCCCTTCACAGCCTCTCATACATTTTATGCTACTTTTCTTTACTCTCAGGTTAGCACTTCCTTCTCCCCTAGTCTAAACATCCTCCCAACAGCTGAAATGTTTTCACCATTATAAAAGCACATAGGAATCTTTTTTTCCAGTTAGTCATGATTGTCCCTCTATTTACTGATTGCCAAAGTCCTCTACAAAGACATTTAGAAGACAGAGTGCTAATTTGTGCCATGTCATCACTTTCCTTTATACTGTGATCAAAGGACAAGTTAACTTACTGTAAAATGTGAATGAAATTTAAAAATAATCTTATTAAAAACAACAAAATGAAACCCTAAAGCAGAATCCTACTGAGACAACTCTAATTTTCTTGATCATTGCTATTCAATTTGTAGTTAGAAACATTAAAAAAAAAAGCTGTTTCATTGGGAAACAGATTCAAACTTCATGACTTTGATACTATTTCAGCTCCTAAGGATTCAGCTGTCAAACTACTGAAGTTTTTCCATCAAAAAAATATTCTCCTTTAATTTACAAGTAGCATTTGTCAGTAGATCTTTATGAAACACATCAGCTACAGACAAGACCTAACAAATTACATGAGTAAATAAAATAGAAATGAGCTGTGGAACATTAAATAATTAGTAAATTATCCCTAAGAAGTTTTGACTTATTTAAATGCTTCCTTTACCTGCTGTTCATTTGCTATGTGTATTCAAAGATCCTGACTTAATTTCTAGCCTCAAACTGGTCTTTGCAAACATTAAAGAAATGTCCTATAAAAGGTAACCATCATTATCTGACAAATTTACTAATGATAGATACGACAGGCCAACAGTACAAGGTATCAATCTTGCCTCTTTCAGTCAACACAAGGGAAAAAAAATTCAGGTTGTCTTATAGTTGGTACACTTCAGAAACAGTGTTTAGGAGCATGGAAAAAGTCCAGTCCTCGTGTGTATTGAAGTTCTCCTTAGGTGTGTTTTTAACAAGGTATTGCAATGGGTATTTATGTTGATATAAGCTCAAAAACTATACATAACTTGGAAGAACTTCCTAAAGAGCTGTCACAGACACCAAACCTGAGATGTTTCAACAGTTTATCAGTCTGGTGATATTTAGACAAGATACAAGCATAATCAGTTTAGTGACGTAAATCCCCTGGCCATCACATACTAGCAACTCTACCAACACAAGATGGCTTTTGTTTGCTTCTAACAACATCTCTTCATTCACTTCTACAGTTTTTAAATACCATCCTTCTTATCTTTACTTAGAAATCTCCTGTTTCTGTGTTTCTATTTATATCCAGATAAACTACTCTCATTATATTCGCTTTTCACTGTCCAGCATTTTTTTCTACATATATATAAAGGCTATGTGTGCTTTTCATGACACTTTGTGTCATTTACTTTTAACCTTTGAAACCAACTCGCTTGAAAGACACTTCCCACTACCTCTCACTCCTCTGCACAAACTCTCCACCTCGCCACCCTGCTAAAAATCCACAAAATACAGTTCACTTGCTAATGGCAAGAGAGACACTGCTGCTGCAAGGGGGTTTGTTGGGTTTTATTTAAATCAGTTGCTTCAACTCCTATGCCCACAATTACCAAAAGGACTAGGTGACTCTTCTTCTCACTTTTCTTATCTGCTAGGCCTCAAAACAAAAGGAAAGTTGCCAAGACTTTGGAGTTTTTCCCATTACAGAAAGTTTTGAGACACTACATATTCATTTCCAGGCAATAACATTACTTGTTTCCCAGATGCTTATTACAGAGAATTGTTTAATACATTTTATAGAGGTTTTGCCTAGAAGAGTGGTTTCTTTGATAAAAGCCTTCAGGTTAAGCAGTTCAGTCATAGTACCATGCCACAGCCTAAGGTACAAAGAAACTATCAGTAATTCTATGAACACCATAAATTTTATTTACCACTACACTGAGTGAAAAGAAATGGTAGATAAACTCATCAGCTTTGTGAGCATGACAAGTAGCAGATCCTACTCTGCCCAAATTAGAAATCACTAACCCATTTTACATACTTTTTGCCATCACTGCACTCACGGTCTCACACTTGGGTGGTTTGTGGCTAAAAATCAGCTAGTTACTGCCTTCTGCTGCATGTTCCCTCTCCACCGAGGAGTAACTGAAATAAGTATGATTACAATGGGTGCTACTATGGTAAAAAGATATAACAATTTATTACCATCACAGACAAAGAAAAGTGAACAATAAGATGAGAAAGATTTCAAATAAGTATCAAATGAAACTAAAAGCTTGTTACCGCAGCCTCTGTCCCTTATTAGCTATTATTAGAAGATGGATGGATAGTTGCAACATCAAGGGGACCCACTAATTCCCACCATTTTACTTTAAAAACCAAAACGCGGAACCCAAAAGCCCAGCCAGACACCCACCAAACGTTTCCCTAAATGGACAGACAGCTGCCATAGAATTAGGGCACTTCTCCTGGGAAAAGGAGAAAGAGCAAGAAGGAACCAAAACACGTTGGTTTTGGTGGGGCGGTGTGACCTTGCGTGCCAGCCCACAAGGTGGTTCCGCGCCTTCCCAGCATCTCCCTCCACGGACGGGCACCGGGAAAAGGATGGGAACAGGATCCGGGAGAGGCCGCGGAGCGAGGAAATGACACCAGCGGCCGAGCGGGGCCGCCGGGCAGAGCCGGCCCGGAGCGCCCTCGGTGCCCGCCCGCCCCCGCTGACCTGAGCAGCGCCAGGAAGGCGGCGGGCTCCACGTCGGGCAGCTCGATCTCGGCCGAGGTGGTGGCCATGCCGCCGTTGAACATCGCGTCGAACACGGCGCTCCCGGCCGCCAGCACGAACCGGTGGGCGGGGATGCGCTGCTGGCCGGGCCCGGGGGGCGCCGCCCCGCCGCCGCCGCCGCGGGCGCTGCCCTTGCCCACCACGAAGTGCACGTCGCTGAGCAGCTCGTTGGAGAAGAGGAAGGCGAAGCGCTCCCGCAGCGAGCCCTTGGTGGCCTGCCAGTTGTAGAGCGGCTCCCGCTGCAGCACCGCGCCGGCCTCGGCGGCGGCAACAGCGGCGGTGGTGGCGGGGGGCGTCTCCGCGGGCGCCCCGGGGCCGCCACCCGCGGCCGCCATCGCCGCCCTCGGGGCCGCGCCGGGCCGGGCCGGGCGCTCCGTCCGCGCCCCGCCCCCGCGTCACCGCCCCGCCCCGCCCCGCGCACGCGCCGCGGCCCGCGCAGCGGGGCCCCGCCCGGAGGGACCAGGCGGTGTCCCGGGGGAGTGTGCCAGCCGGGATGTGTCACCCGGGATGTGTCACCGGCAGGGCCGTGTCACCCGACGGGTCCGTCAGGGCGGCCGGTGCCGCGCGAATGCGCGTCCGGAGCGGCGGGGAGGGGACAGCGCGCAGAGCGCTGCGGCAGCCGCGGAGGTTGATAGCGTTACCTGGGGGACCGGGTAAATGTTCCGGTGATTGCACGTGAAATGCAAATCCATTTTTTATAATGCCCTTTTCCTTGCGGTAACAGAGTTGGCCTGTTGTAACTACTTCTGAAGCAATGCTGAAACAACGGGTGGCACATACACGTTACAGTCCTTACACAAGTACAGTGTGTCTCGACATTCAGTGTTTTAAACTTCCGAAGAGGAAAACCGAAGCAGAACAGGCATCAGAGGGCCAGTGTGGGCTTGTGCCTCACGCAGCAGTCACCCCGTGTCACGTCCTTGGAACAGGCGATGTAGTGTGGTTAATTCGCTTGAATTAACGAGCGAAATGGGATTGGGTTTAGTGTGCTATCGTGGTGGCTTTTAGGAAAGAAAGGGGAAAGGAATAAAAAGTGTTGGAGTTTTCCCAGTCCTGTCAAACCGCTGTCAGTCGAGCACCGAGGCGGACCCTTTTGCCATCTGCTGGGGCTGTGCTGTAAGGACAGCGGCGATTTCCATCGCGGGGCTGAGGGCTGTTTGTCATAGCTCCTGAGTTGTCAGCATTTATGGAAGCATGTGGCTAAAAGAGGAATAGAACATGTCACCGCTCTGCATTCAGGTTTATAATTAGGACAAAACTGAGACCAAGCAAATGCGGTCTGTTTCGCAGAACAAGTTTTAGAGAACCTTAAGCGAGGTGGAAGCAATTCCAGCAGGGTAAACTATAGTGGGAAAGGGCACAAGTAGATACAGTGTACCAACCAGAAAGCAGCAACTAGCTTTGCACAGAGGCTATATTTAAAAATAAAATCATGCTGCTGACTGAGAAGAATGAAGGTGTCATCTTTGCGCTTTTCTTGTCCCAAGGTGGGCAAAGAAGGGAAAGCAGGAGAGCCCCACATTCCCTTGATAGCTTAGGGACAGAGATGTGAAACAGTGATGTGACACCATGGACACAAATGGATAATTTTCTGGGGGCGTTTTTTGCAGTCATGGGGTGATCTGGATAATAATGAGCATTTCTGTGATTGCTGTCTTTTTGCTTTTACCTTTCTGTGCTTGCTCACAAGTTAATCTGTCAGCTGAGAGCCAACAGCCATGACTGCTCCGCCTAGATTGAACCCCATTTGCAAAAAGTCAACCCACTGCCAGTAACACACTAGAGAAAGTTAACAAGAATTGTAAAGGATTAAGGAAAAAGGGAAATGTACACCAAAGAACTAAAAGGAGGACGCCTGGGGCAGACAAAGTATGTAGGACAGCTTCAGGGATGATAAGAAGGTAACGCTAATAAGGGATCATAAGAAGGCAAAGATATGCAAAATAGGGAAAAATGGAAAGGCCTGTGAGATGGGCTGAGGCAGAAAGCTGAGAGAGAAAATGAGGGGAAAGAAGGAGAAATAAAATGAAAGGAACCAAAAGTCTAAAAAAACAAAAACAAAACAAACAAAAAACCAAAACAAAAACAAAAAACAAACAAACAAAAAACAAACAAACAAACAAACAAAAAAACAGGAAAGGAGACAAAGGAAAGGAGACAAAGGAGAAATGTGACCTGGATGCCCATCACTGCTGTTCAGCTAAGTGCCAAATGCACAAATTTAAACACTTTTGAAAGAGAACATACTTCCTTTTGAACATATTTCTTTTTGAAACTGGGTTTTTCTGTGTGTAGACAACAACCCTCAGACATCTGTTTCACCTTGTAATCTTTGTGCTAGCTTCCTTTAAAAAAAAAAATCAGCCAGCTTTTATTTGGCATTCACAGTGGGTGGATTCATAGCCATTTTTAAATGTGATGTCATTGTATTTGCCAGTCCAGATCAGAAATAATATACAATGCTTTTCCCAAAAGGGCTTCACATGAATGTCACTAAATTGCCATCCCCTGTGTGTTCAGGTTTTGTCCAGGAAATATAGCAGAAGTTAGTAGAGAGAAAAATATTTATATAACATAAGCAGTTCAAGAAGAACTTTTTTTTTTATCTCATGTGTCAGAATGGTTACAAATAAAGGGCTGTAGACAAAAGTTCAACAGTATTATATTATATAGCTGTGAAAGTTGTCCTGATCTCTAGCCAGCAAAACAGAAGGTCAGGGTGTGTCTGCAGTTTTGAGCAGCTAATTTTCAGGATCTGCATAATGGCCTGAGCAAGCCCGTGCTGACCTGGTGCCTTTTTTTCTGTGGAAATCCATGAAGAAAGTACTCTCCAAGTTTTGAGGTTCCTTTACCTGTCAGCAGGGAGAGAGAGGGTGGGTTTACATGTACTGAAGAAGAACTAGAGAATGCTGTAATCAAACTGCAGGGATTTCTGAGATACCTATGATGCCAGGGATGTCCCAGAGACACAGGAGTGCCTGCCCAGTGGCCCTGGCCTTCCCTGCCCCTGAAACGGGGCCAGTTCTGTCAGAGCCATCAGAAGGGTTTAGGTTACTAAGGGTATTGTTTTCAATCATTTGTTCCTGAAATGATTTGAATTCTCCTCCCTTTCCTTCTTTTCCCTGCATGAACTCAGCTTTGTGTATGTTCTAGGGAGCTGTTTGTTGTTATGATCAGAGGGTTTGAGTTGGCACATATTTTTACAGTGATTAGCAATTGTTCTCGTAAGTGGTTAGCATCCTTTCTCTGCTTCAGGAGGGAAGAGGATAATTCAGAGTAAATCACAGATTTGTTTCTGATTAAGCTTCCTGGTTGGGGCCATTTGATGACATCTTTTCCTTTCTATGCTCAATTAGATTCTTAAAATCTCCTGCATCTTATCCATGCCATTGCTGTGAATGACAGACATGCATATTACTGTTCCCATCACTGAATTATAGTTGCCCAAATGTGTAATTTTTAATAACTATGGTTAATAACAACTACAATAACAATGTTATTTCTTTGGGATTTTTCTTGTGGTTATTATTGTTTTCTTCTGTCTGGTTTGAATTTGCCTGTACTGTCGTGATGTGGGGTCTGCAGGTAACAGATCCAGTTTTGGAGCATTGAATCCATGTATACACAGAAAACAGTCTTAGATCTGAGGAACACTAAGGGCGGGGATTAAGTCTTATGTCTTGTAAAGTGATAATATAATTCTAAAAAAAAGCCATAATAAGAGCAATTGTTGTTTTTTCTCTGTTATAAATTCACTTGTATTCTAAAAATGACTATAAGGAGCATGCAACTTTCTCCGAATTTTTTTAATTCATAATTCTTTGCCCTATCATTTCTGCAAGTAATTCTTGTATCTGAGCATTTTATTGCTCATTTTCAGCTGTGCTGGTTAGTTTTCCTGGAGTATGAAGGTCATGTTTCTTGTGCCCTTAATTATATTGATACACTTTTCTGATTTTTAGCAATAATACTAGTAATTTCAAATTAAATTTCTCTTAATACATTGTAATTATTTCTTACAGTACTCTTTTGCCATAAACATTCCTGCTAATCAAATTATTTCTGTGAAAATTTTCAGAATCCTGACAGAGACATGTATAACTGATCCAAATGTGACATGGAAGTTTTTGATGCCTCCAGCTATGGAGGTAGCTCTTTCATTTCTCATTTGGCACACTTATGTATTTCAAAAATATACAGAAAATGGCAACAGCAACATTTGTCACATCTTTTCTCTGAAAGTAATTACAAAATAAAACCAATTATTTAAGCCGTTGAGGATCCTACTCACCACAAACCTATTTCACATATAATTTCAAATACTGACATGGCTGGGTCTATGAAAAATCTTATACATTGACATGTCTTTTAAAGAATTAAAAATATTCTGCTACTGCATAGCTGGAGAAGCAAATGAGAGGAAATTATTTTATTAGTTATTACTAACATGTCTTTATGACTGACCAGTGACTATTTTCTGAAGCTATATTTTTCAATCCCTGCTGAATGTGTTGAGGCACAGAAGTGCTCCAGACAGAGCCCACATTTCCTACATTTCTACTAGGGTATCTAGTTAACAGTTCAATTTCCACACAATTAACAAGATTCTTACTGGGAAGTCACACTTGCCATTTGCAGTTTAAGACAAATAGTACGATTGGCATGCTCTCTTTCACTATCATGCCTGTTAATTTTACTCTGACATGTCTTTTTTCCTCCTAAGATTATTGGTTGGTGAATACAGGCTGTAGCACAAAAGTCAGCTCTGTTTTTAAAGTTCTGATATCCAATTTGTAAATGATATGAACACTAATCACTAAAATTCCCCTTTGAATGCTTCTTTGGTGCTGTGACTGCTGCTGGCGAATCCCCCCAGATCGGCAGCAGATCATTAGTATGTGCCCTCCTGACCCCCAGTGCATACCATATGAGCTCCATTATGTTGCCTCTGGTGCACCAGGCAGTCTGAGATTTACAATACACCATCATTTATTACATCTTGTATCCTCGACTAACAAGAAATTCAGAAATAAAATGGATTGGCTTTAAAGCTGTTAGAGCATTGCAGTTATCTATGATCTAAGCTGCTCCCTCAGCAAATTAACACATTAACAGAAGTCTCAAATATGAAGCTTTTAATTCATTATTTAATTCACATTTTAATCCATCTTTATCTGATCTATTGCTTTTACTGACTCCTCTTGCCTTAAGAAGTCACTTGCAGATACAGGAAGTACACTCTGCAGAATGTATCAGCTTAGTTCCATAAAAATTGAATGACACAAGTTGTTTTGTACCAGGATGGTATTTTGTAGCTGGCATCATAAAGCAATGAAAGCTTGCTGCTTGGCAGAGCCCTGTGTGAACACATGAGCAGTACTTCCAAGAGATATAAATAGTGTCTCTTAATCCTTGCATTGATCTTCATGTGCTTGTTTAAGGTTCAGCTCCCTACATTTGTTTAGATTAATGTAATTTTTATTTAAAATAAAGTCAAGTGTGTCTTGATATAATGTTAAACCTTACAATTTGTCATGATATAACAGACAGTTATTAAAGATAAGAGCTGTTTCCCAGACTAAAAGTAGACAAAAAGACCTAATGGCCAGTTAGTCTCCTACTTTGTAGCTGACCATTAGTAAATAAGTATTTTTATATCCTCCACAATATTCTTTTGCTGGCACACTTACAAATGCCTTCTCAGTCCTGACATCAAAACTGATCTGCCACCATTTAGTATAGAGACTGGAGAGAAACATCTTCCATAATGTAAGTACTGATTAATGGTCTAATCGAGAAGCTGACAAACATCAGCCCTAGCATATTGTTTGTGAGTTGAGCAGTGCCAGCTGAGGGGCCACACAAGTGGAACTGGCTGGTTGCTGTGGTCAGGATTCCCAGTGAGGAATCTGACATGTGGCACAAGGCTGATACTTGTGATTTGACAGAGAGTTGGGTTACCTATTCTAAAATGACCAATTAGACAGAAATGATGTAGCTTCTGACACAGGAATGTTACAGTGAGGTAAAGGATCACTGGTTTTGGCACTGTGCTGCTGAAGGGACTATTTTTCAGGTGAAATATAAGATCAGAACTCTAGGAATCTCATGTCAATAAATATGATCCTCTGACAATTTCTGCATGGGAAGGATTCTTAATTTTCGTGTTTCCATTACTCCATTTTGCTCTCCTAAACTTCATTGCAGTTTGTGTAGGATATACATTTTTTTCAATCTTATCCTGACATCTAATATTGCTAAATAGTTAAATAGTGTTTGATTTTCTACAAGTGATGACATCCACATGTCTCATGATGATGTTACCATTTATAAAATTCGGGGGGGGGGGAAGAAAAAAAGACTTTACAACATCAAGGAATGAACATAATTATGTGACAGGAAGCTGAGAGGTTACACTTATTCTGGTGACAGCAGCTTATCAACACTGCTTTCATATAACACTTGGATTAGTAATTATGTTGTTAGAGACACCCTATTCCTACCCTCCTTTTTGTATCACTGTTCTGGTACTTGTGAATAGAGGGTGGTGTTACAAGCAGTTGAAGTTTAAGTTCTTCTTTCCCCTTCTTCCCCCACAAGAACACTTAAAGTTGTCAAGAAATGCATGTGTTAGTTTTTGAGGACTCCTGGTTTTCAAGTGTTTGATCACTAAGATTGTTTGCTGTTTTATTTAATTTCTGACTGAAGCCCAGTTTTGAACTATGTGCCATTGGGGAAGTTGGTCAGTGATTTCAGACTGTGCCAACCAAGCAAGTTTTCCTTTTTCTCTAGAATTGGTTTCAACTGTAAAAATAACAAGAATTCTGGGGAATTTTATTTTCTTCCTAAAGCCTGAAATAGAAGCCGAGATATTTTGGCACAGAGAAGAAAGGCCAGAGTTAAAAGGCTCTGTAGCTACTAGAAGAAAAATTCTTCTGATACGGAAAGTGTGGCATACCAGAGTCTACATGTTCAGCACTATCATGGGTGGACTTGGGGGCCTCCTCTGTCAGGACGTGGGAAGGAATAATGGAGCTGGAAGGCTCACTAGTTCTTCTTTCACACAGTAAGAGATGAAAATGAAAGGGAAAAACATGCCCTTTTGGAAAAAAAACACTTCAAACATCACATTTCATGGGTCTTTTCTGCTACCAGATGCTCATAATTATATTTCTAATCAAAAGTTGATAGATTTCAACACAAAAGACTAGAACAATGCACCTGTACAGTTGAGCTGCTATGTGATTACCACAGGATGTGCCTTGGCATTTTCTACTCAGAAGTTGAAATAGGACTTGATGAACAAGCTGGGTGCAAATCAGAGCTGGAATATGCTGGCAGAGGGGTAAGAAAGAAAGTGTTTGACTTTACAGACACAGAAACTGAGAAGCAAAGCTTGAGACATGAATCTTGAGACTGCACTGTGGCAGCTGCATACAAATAAGCAGCCTATACATTTGAAAGCTTGAGAAGTAAACCGGCTGTGCATTGAAAGGTAGGCATTTGGAGGTGGTAAATTTAGCCCTGACTCATCCAATGGCAATTCTGACACTTGGGTGGACTAAATTACTTCTGGGAGTTGCATCATGTTTTTACTGGATAGTTTGATTGGGCATGGTTTAACCCATTTGTATACCCATGGCCAGATTCTAGACCTCTCTCACTTGAAAAACTTAACAAAAATTTGTTTGTATAATATACAGGACATAGATATAATCTGGGTCATCAAGTTCCTTTCAGAGGGAGGTATTATATCAATTAGTCTATTGCTTAAACTTACCAAATTTAGGGTAAAACACTTAGAAGATCTTTTGTCACTCATGGCTGTTTCTGAAAACTAGCCAAAGTTTCTTCACAGCTTCATCCTTCAAATTAAATAGTTTTTTCCTCTCACTGGTGTTAACTCCTCAAGTATTTACAGAGAGCACTTATATCCCAATCTCTTCAGCCTCTTCCTGACAGGCAGGTGCCCTATTTCCTCAGCCACCTTAGCAGTCCTCCATTGTCTCATTTCAACACGAGGGAATCGGAATTGTGCCCACTATTGCAGAGGGGTGCTTTTACAACAGCGTTAATTCTTCTGGAAAGAGCTTTCCTGGCATGCTAGAAACGCATTTGCTGTTTTCTCCAAGCAACACTGGATGATCAATCTCACTTGCCAGTGTCCTGGAATTAAATGCTCAGTAACTTCTAGGAACAGCGGTTTTCATTTCTGTTTGCCTTGTGCACAAGGCTCATTCCACCACTGACACTTTAGTGTTGATACCCATATATAAACAAAGTTTGAAGCCAGGAAAAAAAAACGCTGATGGACAAGGTCAGACATATGCTTAACTTTTGCTAGTTATTTTTGACATTTAAAACGGAAAAGGTGAGTTCGCAATTTTTTCCCCATCATTTTAAAAACGCTAATGCCCTTGTTCTTATTAACTGTTCATGTTCTTATTAACCCAGCTAAATACTGATGCAAAAGAGATGCATAATATTTTTACGGGTTTCTCAGGGAGACCAAGGGGACCCTCTCTCCATCTACCACCTCTCGCGAGCCCGGATCGGTTCCGCGGCCCCCGCGCTCCGGCTGCCGCCGCCCCGGTACCTCGCCGCGCCGTCACCCGCAGTTAACCCGGGACGCCTCTTTGACGGCGCTCAGCCCCTCGGCTCAGCCCGGCTGTCACGGCAGCCCCTCGGCCACTGCCGGGCCGCGGAGGAGCGCCCGTCCCCGCGGGGCTGGACCCGCGCCCCCGGTCCCGCAGCATCGCCCGTCGAGCAATGCCCGACCGCGGGGCAGGGGCGAGGGGAGCGGGGCGAGCCCCGGGGGCGGGCAGAGCTCCGCGGCGCTCTCCGGGCGGCTCCGGTTTCCGAGGCGGATTTAACCTTCCCCGCGCGGGGCGGGGGGGCGGCCGCCGGCGATGGGGCGGGCGGCGGGCCGGGGCCGCGGGGCGTGCGGGGCTGGGGCGAGGCGGTGCCTCGGGCCCGGCGCGGCGCTCGGCTGGGGCGAGCAGGGCGGCCGCCGCCTCCCGCCGCGGCGATGAGCGCCTCGGCGGCCACCGGCGTGTTCGTGCTCTCGCTCACCGCCATCCCCGTCACGTACCTCTTCAACTGCCTGGCGGCCACCGGCAGGTGAGCTGGGCGGCGGCCGGGGCGGTGCGGGGAGGGGGGTCCCCGCGGCTTTTTTTGTCGGCGGCGCGGGGCTGAGCGGGACGGGGCGGGCGGCGGAGCGGGACAGCGGGACGGACCTCGCCTCGCCGCTCCCGGGTCCTGCCCGCGTCCTCTGGGATGCAGAGGGGGAGCCCAGCCTGACCGCTCACCCTGGGACCCTCCACGCTGCCGGTGCCCATCACCTGGAGCGTGTCCCGGAGCTCCGGTCACCCCGGGCTGGCGGTACCGCCGAGGGGAAGGAGCAGCCCGGACGGTACCGCCCGTGTCGGGGCCGGGGGCAGCCTCCCTCCGGCTCCCTGTCCGGGCATTCACAAACAAAATCCAACCAGTGGAAGAACTCGCCAGCCTCGGAGAGCTCCCGCAGGTTTCCTACAGGCACCCCCTGAGCCTGCGAGTTTAACTAATAATGACCGTATGCCCTCGCTCTGCCAAAACACGCGGGCTCAGGATAAACGGCAGGTCTTGAAAAGAAAAGTCTTTCTTCACGGCAAAAAACGGTTCACTCAAAGGTCTGCGTGGTATTTTGTGATCCCAACAGCCTGGGGTGTTTTGCAACTACTGCACAAATATTTGCTTCATGTTTTAAAGGCTTTGCTACATCTGTTCCTTCCTCATTTTCCTCCTTCTGGCTGATAACAAAATTTTTGGTTTCTCACTGCTGGAGTAATGTCGAATAACACATGCTGACTTACTTGATTCATTGCCAATATTTATTTCAAAATGATAGACTGCAGTGAAAAGCCACTGCAATATTAACAGCTGTAACAGTACGAAGAAATTCATTCCTGGGAAAACAGACTATCAGAAGATTCAAACCATGAAATAAATCAACAAGCTAGTACTGCTCATCCTGACTCAGAAAGTATGTGTATATATATTCTGAAATATTTGGTCTTGCAGATTTTTTGCAATAATTTTAAGTCAAGTTTCACTAAGGCTGAAATTGTCGTAATATAATTTGTTTGTACACAATTTGTTTTCTTGACACAGAGTGGTACTATGTATAAGTACTATATGTATAAAATGATGTATCAGATATTTTTAGCTTATGCATCTGTACTTTACCTAATTTTCCCTTCATTTTTTTCTTACACAAGCACAAAATTGAACACTGAGGAGGACAGTCTAGAGAGCTAAGTATAATTTACATACTTAGAGCTTTAAAACAATTTTAAACTGCTTTGCGCCAAAGATTTTTTGTGCTTTCCCCTGTCGTCACTTTACATGCACTAACATTATGGCTTCATCTCCAGGGAAAAGATGTTTCCACTGAGCCCACCTGCGTTGATTACTGAATCCCCTCAAATGGTCCTGCCTTGTAGGGCCAGAGAGACCCCTGGTAGCACTTCAAAACTGACCATTAAAGCTAGATCCATCATAGGTGCTCCACACTGCCACTCCTGAGCCGTGGAACTGATGTGTTTTAGTTTTGAATATGTCATTTCCTGGGTAGATAATTTATTGCTGAGGTTAGATGAAATGGCCCCAATGATCCTTTTTGGCCTTGAAATCTCTACGGGTTTGATCTTCACCTCTCATTGGCCTTTAATTTTCCCATGATTTTTGTTTATTTTTGCAGATACCAGTATGAAAACTGATTTTAGTCTGACAAATCTAGACTCCTGGATATGTTGTTTATCTAGCTATTTTTGTATTTTCTTTTTTTAGCTGATCACATGTGAAAATAGAGGCACATAAATTCTGCAGAATTATAAAATAAGTACTATGATGGACTATGAAAGGGACTTTAAAACCTGCCTTTTAAAGTATTAGAAGTTACTTTAAGAGTATGTGTGTTTGAGGATAGCTGGTAAGAAAAGCTGAAGAAGCAAAATTCTGTCTTTGTCTTTCTTTTAAACTTGTTTTTTTTTAAATACTGTTGCAGTTCCTGGGTAATCGTTGCAGTTGGATTGCTGGTTCTGGTTCTTATTGCTCTGTTGGCTCGTGTTCTTGTCAAAAGAAAACCACCAAAAGACCCGCTGTTTTATGGTATGTCCTGGTTATGATGAAGCTAAATTTCCTGTCCTGAAGGAGGGACTGGTTAATTTGCCAGCAAGGTCTGCTACAGACTGCCATGGGTCATGTATTTGCCTTGCTCACCTGCAAAAATGACAACTCCCTCTCCACCTCCTTTTTGTTGTCCTTTCTCCTTTCCAAGTGATGACTACAGTCAAGGCTGTACACTTCGTGTATCCAAGATTTTTGAAAGGCTACATAGTCCTTTCTGCAGACACTGACTTTCCATGGAGGCTGTGCCTACAGCTTTATAGAATTTCTCATTCCTCAGAAAAGCTTCCTAAGAACGGTGTTGACTAACCACTAATTAAAAAATACTGAGCTATGTGGGAAAGTCATATTGTGTGTTAAGTATCTGTGACCTCAAAGTAGACACAACTAGTTCAATAGATCTCTGTCTGACTGAATTTATCAGACTGTGAAGCAACTGTGTGATTCCAAGTCTTTATTAATTTCTTTTCCTTATCTTATTACAGTTTATGCTGTATTTGCCTTTACCAGTGTAGTGAACCTAATAATTGGGTTGGAACAGGATGGAATTATTGATGGATTCATGACTCATTACTTGAGAGAGGTAAATAATAGTTTGGCTTACAAATCTAAATAAAATCTTCACTATAAATAACTTGGTGTAGCATTTGTCACAGAGAAATAGCCATTCATACAAATACACATTCAATGGGTCTTCTTGAATTTTGTCATTGACCTGCTTTGTTATTGTTATGGACAAAACCTTCTCTGGCTTGAAACCACTGACTCATTTGGGAAAAAGAATGTACCTTTCGTACTCCAACATTATGTCACTTAGTTTAAGTAACACTGTTCTGTATTAACTTCTGGGAAATGGATGGACTGCACGTGTTTGCAGAAAGCCATAGACAGCACCCAGGAGTGGAGTCTGGCAGCACCTAAATGTGTTACCAAGAAGAAAACAAAATTGCTGTTTTATTTTTGCCTAGTCACTTTACTAAAAGGAATTAAAGTAGAGTTAAAAAATGATGATGCCAGGTACCTAGTCAGCAGAATCTGTTGGCTCCTGAATATCAACATCCACCAAAAATAGCTCAGTAAGAACTTGATGTGAAAGTCACTGAAGTCATTGAAAAGATTCCATGAACCTAATTGAGAAATGAGTTGGACCTTACAAGGTTATACGTTGGCATCAATATATTCAATACTGTTGTAGATCTTTAGGTTGCTAAATATATCTGGATTTGTTCCATGCTATATGTATCTTTATTTTGTAGCTTTTATCACTAAAATATGGAAAAGTCATATTTCTATAATGTAGCAGAGTAATGCTGACAGTCACACATAGGAGTTTTCCCTCCCATCTTGCCCCCTGTTTTGCAACTCTAGGACTCATTTAATTATGGCTGATCCTGCATACATCAGGTCTGTGCTTGGAAATACGTATTGTCAGTCAAAAACTGTACCAATGGATTACAAGAACACCAGTTACTTTTCTGAACTTATCTCTTGCTGTTCTTTGTTAATTATTTGTTATTCTTCCTCTAATCACTGAATCTCTTCTAAAATACATGTTTCCCCAGGGTGAGCCATATCTGAACACTGCCTATGGCCATGTGATCTGCTACTGGGATGGCTCTGCTCACTATCTGATGTACCTGTTGATGGTGGCAGCTATTGCGTGGGAGTAAGTCAGTTTGATTTGTGTACTGTTTGCTTTGCTCCCGTTCTCACATAACCTACAAAGGGCTTTCTTTTCCATGCAGTGTTCAGATTTTTCTTTCAGGGTGGTTCCATGTCTTAGGCCAAAGCAATGCTGTTAAAATTTCATTACATTCAGGAGTTGTACCCTCACCAAGTTACCCTCTCTCTCAGCTGCCTAAGCCCAGCAAATGCATGGGGATGTATCTGTCCTCATTCTGCAGCAGAGAGCAGCACATCTGCACCCTTAGTGTTAGCTAAAAGCTTAAAGATGATGCACATTAAAAGCATGTGTGAGAAAAACAATTCTTTTTTCAAATAACAAATTTAGGATAGGAATAATGCATTGCTTAGCACAACATTGAGTCTCTCATCCATGTTAGAGAGTGTCATGAAGTTTAAGAGAAAATGGCTATTTCTAGAGATTCTTATGTTTCTTGCAGTTGAATGGCAAGTTTGAGAAAGTAAGTACTTCAGTTCCAGAGGCTAATGTACCTGCTGGTAATAGAAGCATTAAC